AATCGTCTTCTGGACTTCTCTGCTCGGATTTCCTTGAAGGATCTTGGGAGGTTGGGCTAGGTTCTTGGGAGGTTTCTCTAGATTGTGATTTTCGAGACCTTTTTATTTGTCTTTCGACAGATGGTGTTCTCTGGGAACGAGAACCGACATATATGGGAATTTTTGTACATCCTTGGGTTTGGAATGCCGGATGATTATGAGATTTAGGATGTTCAGAAGCCAAAGAAGATGGCTGGGAATGTGTTGAGCTGTTATTTATCCGTTTCCGTAATCGATGCATGCGGAAAGGAAAAAGAAAGAAAATTTAAATAACTATATTATAAATGTACTACTATATTTGTATTGTTAGTAAAATTCGCATTTTAATGAGATTTAGTTTTAACTACTTATTCATGCTATATAGCTGTATGCCTATTATGATATTACCACCACCACTAATACTGCACTATAGAAAGTGTTCAAAATCTTTCAACGAATATCAACAAAGGCCATTTCGAGTAGTGTGATCATAAACAAAAGTGCGCCCATTTTTCCTGTAGTACCTGTACTATTGCGCGTCGCTACATTCACCTATACCCCTATGAAGCCAAATGACGTGCTTTTTCATCACAGTGATATTTCCATTAAATTGCGATCAAAACTTTTACAAAGAAAAGAATTAAATTTATATTGTATATGTGTTTTGTATGTAGTTTTATAAAAATTTTGATCACAAATATGGCGCGGCAAACAACTCATGACAAACTCTCAATGTGTACCTCAGCAGCGGCGGCACGGGGGCCAGTGTGGGTATACTGGATGTGCGGTACATCGCTCCGCTACCGTACCTGTCCGTGCGTTATCAGTTCACCATATAATTAAACTATCACCTATTATTTTTAAACATGAAAAGTACAACAGTGCGAACATTTTTTTAGGTAACTGTTGTTTATGTCAATAAGTTAAAATAATAACAAAAAGAAATAAATATGATTTACTCCTCATGTCTAAGTGAATAAAATTGTAGATAAAGATAGATTTCCGTATCTAATATTTATTAAAAAGAAACAAAAATTTTCACTGGATAAATGGGACATTAAATTTTATCCGAATTTTGACTTTCCTAATGTAGCGATCGAGATTCATATAAATAACATAAATTAAATTTGATTATCTAGGAGTGTTATTCACAAATTTTGTTTTGTTAAGTTTCATATTATAAGAAACATCAATATATTTAATTAAAATATTTGTATGTACTTAATTAAAAATTCTCTCAGCATATAGATCATGATATTGCAATCACGTATTTTATAGAGATTTTGAAATTACGTAGGTATATATCAAAAATCTCAACACAATCTATCTCTATCTATGAAAGTGAAAATAAAAGAATAGAAATTTTAATTAAGAAACGTACCTTCCACTGGCAGGTGTTAAGAATCCAGTTGGCGTGCGAGGCCTTGAGCTACCATTTGGTGTACTGACTCCAAGCTTGCTGGCCGTAGCTGCTGCGCGTGCCGTCGACGCTCGCGTATTTGTCACTTTACGCATTGGTATGCGTGATGGCGTGATTACTTCATCTAAACCAAAAATATAGAAATATAAGAATACATACATTTTAACTACTAACTGGCTCAATACATAAATAATAGAAGCTCGACTCTGACTCTATTATTGTATAATTTTCTTTTTGTTGACTAAATAATGAATTCATGTACCTATATTATAAAATAAAATAACATTATAACAATACCTGTACTGTCTAAGGATAGATTTGATCCATGCCTTGACGGTGGTTTTGAACCTGTTCTTGATCCTGGCCTAGAACCTGGCCGTGATCCACCGGGTGTTAACGTTGATCTAGTAAAATTTATAAAATTTATTATATAAATAGCTAGTGATATATACATATATATACGATTGTATTTGCATGTGGTTAATAATTTCAGTGTATTTAAAAAAATAAATATTGTGCGACTAATGTCTCAATCTACATATTCACACTTAATTATTTAATAAATACATTCGCTCGGATAATTGAAAGAACACAGAATCGTGTTTCAATTTAAACAGGCACACTTTAATCTTAGACATTGTATTCGATCAAACTGACTATAATGAAAAAAAAAATTAAGTAATACTTATAAAAAATAATCACTGACCTGGGTACACTAGGTTTTCTATATCTCGCACCGAGACCGCTAGCAGCTTCGTTATCACTGAGCGAGTCTGGTGTGCCTGCGCTGAGAGAGGATCTCGAAGCTCGACCGGCAACACCACCGCCTGACATTGGCACGGATCGGGCCGTCCGTTCCCTTACCTGTATATAAATTGTCTTTGTAAACATAAAGAATAATTTTTACACAATATTAATCAATATAATGAGTATTTAATAAGTTTATGGTTATGTCGTATGTCAGCCATACAAGAAATTTCAAATTATTTATAGTAATAACTAAAGACACGTTACTGATACTTTCAACATATACAAGCATGCCGAACTATATTGGACTTGACGGTTGATTACTATGTACTAACACAATAAAAATAAAATAACTTACACCACAAATAAAATAAACAAAAGAGCTGTTGATTATTAGAAATTGAATGTGCAAACAAACCGCGACACTAACACATTGCCTATTTAGCATTACCCAATGGTATCCTGGCGACGGCTGATATCCATGGTGGTGAGTATAGTGGTGAGCGCCCGGTGTCGTCGAACCTTGAGATCTTGAATGGCCGTATATGAACGCCTGTTTAGTGCCATGTGTTGAGCCGACGTGAAGTGGATACGAGCACGGGAGTTCTTCCCGTTGACGTAAAGCCTCGAATATTGGCTTCAGCTGCTCCATAAACTCCTCAGCTAAACGCACCAATACAAAACCGGGGACTGATTAAGGAGGGCAGGGGATTCTTAACAAAAACAAGTTTTTGTCTTCATAGTGCCAATCTTTTAGCCGAAACGCGGATTATTTGTTTACATTGATGTTACGATTAGTCCACACGTTTAAACGACGAACGCGATTTTTTTTTCGATATGCGGATATGATGGGACTAGCGGGAGAGGATGAACAAAATACATTACCAAAACATCCATATGCGTTGATGTGCCACCTCTCCAATGCAGTGGATCCAATGAGTGGTATACTAAACAACACCAAAACACTACACGAGCCTGTGCATCAACGCATAGCTTGAACACACTAATGCAATACGACCAAACGCTACGAGCTCAACACATGCTGTATTCTCGAAACTGCAATTTGCATATGGATATGATAATCCATGTACAAATTGTAACAAAAAAAGCCAAAATGAAATCCCAAACCGATGCTCCCTCCAACAACTACAGTGCGCTTTATGTAGTATATGTGCGAATTATAACTAAGTTCTATCCTGTAGGAGAGAAGAATTTATTATGAAATAATTTAATAGCAGCATTTAGCTACTTACCTTTGTGATAGGTCCAGTGGATGGAGGTGTATTTGTGTTAGAGCGGGGCGTACGCGGTCGGAACGCTGCCATACTCTGTGATACTCCATCGGCAAGAATGAACTGTTCCCTCAGTTCGATGTTGGTGCGTCCTTTGGCTGCATGCGGGCGGCGTCCAGTGCGTAGGATATAAAAGGAACAGGATTGGGAGAGGGTCAAAGAAAACCGTTAGGTGAAAGGATGGGATGAAAATAACACGTATAGTGTTAAATAAAACGGGACAGCGTGCAGTGGTAGTGAGGAAAAGAAAAAAAAACAACAAACAAAATCAGAACATATCAAACATAAACACACAACGCAGTAATAAAAACAAAACAAAATTGGATATTTCCGTATTTGTGTGCAGTTAGGAATAGGAATATAAAATACAATTAGTTATTTTCTCTCACCCAAAAATACATCCAATATGAATCAAGAACAAGATTATTGGTGAACGTCGAAAATTTAAATATATTATAATTCAATATAATAAATATAGTATATCATTATAGTTTAATCAAATGATTAAATTAAGCGTTTCTAAATTTATTCTTGCTCTTGTTCCATACAAATTAGTATGTTCTACAGTTTAAAATAAACTTTGTAAACTATTTTATGCAAATAAATTCAATTTTATCATGCTGTAATAACTAATATAAAAGCAAATTATTATAAATAAAATACACCGCTATTCCATTTAAAATTGTCATACTTGATATACTACAAAGCCATTCTACATATTTGATGATAAAATTATTATTATCTATATAAATATAAGCTCATTTGACAACAACAAAAGCACCAAACATGTAAAATGACCATTTTACACATTGAGCCAATAATTCTAGTTATGGCGAAAATAAAATTTAAGCCACACCAATGAATAACGCCCCGCTTTGGAACCAAAAGTTTTGTTAAAATTTTAAGCGTTTAGATAAATATTATTAAATAAATACGTAAAAAGGGTGTAACTGAATTGATTTCATTATTTTTTTGGTTCCGAACGCAGGTCATATATCTTACCGAGCGGGCAACAAGCTTCATGCTGCTCCGGCTTGCTCGGATCAGGCAGCGGTAGTACTAATGAAACTACTTTATATAAAGGGGATGTCGGGGTCATAAAATAACATAAATTGAAAATAACGTAAATTAATGATTTTTATAAAGGAGCCAGGGGATTTGGAATGGGTAAAGCGAATACGAATTAGTAAATTAGTAGCAACATTAATTTATTGTGGACATTTTCAATGCTTACTTTAGCTATATGGTATTATCCGTTACTAGCAATTGATTTACGTGTTCATAAATATTTTACAATAAAATTATGACATAAAATTTGATGAAGGACAAAGACTGTGAACCCTAAAAATTTATTTTACATTAACATATTGTGTTTTAGAATTATATTTATTATTTATTAACAATTTATTTTATATTATAATTTATTAATTTAATAATAAAAAATAGTTATATATTAAAAACAGTTAATAACGATTACGTTTCACAACTGTTATGTTGCGATAAGTTTAAGCTGGCAACACAGCTACAGCGCATGTCAAATCGAAGCGCGTCGAAAAAAAATAAGAACAATGGACTCTTCTCGTTGATTTTATTTCGTGTTCAATTGTATTGTTTGATTTAATTACCAAAATGACTGGGACGATAATTGAAAACCTTAGCGGGCGTAAACTAGCCGTGTTAATGACCTTTTTATTGTTATGTCAAATAACGTGTTTTCTAATCGGCGGTTTAGTCGCACCCACGCCAGCGAACGCAAATTCTATCCTCGGTACTGTGTGTCAAGATACTTCTACAGTGAAAAATGACACGACAAAGTGGTTTTATAATCGCGGACGCGGTTCTTGTAAATCGATCAACCTCGAAGATTTGCATCAGGACATTTCCGAAGCGGACATCGTTTTTGCGTTTCAAATGCCGATTCCTCGCGATAGCAATACATTAGACTATTCTAGATGGCAACAGAACTTAATTGGGGTGTTGCAATTCGAAATAAAGTACCATTCTCAGATGGAAGTGAAGCCTCGCAGTGTTGTCACGATAGATGCGCGGCTCGCTTATCAAAACAAGGGCGATCCGGAAGATGAATGGAAGCTATACACTCAGTCCATAGAAAAACGGCACCTCGATTGTTATATTCACAATGACGAGTATTTATACAACTGTTCAGCCATACCACTGTTTGAACTCGGCTCATTATACCATGATTTTTATTTACTCAACGTCAGACTGCCTGTTGACACGCCTGATATGAACACTAACATTGGACACCTACAAGACCTTTGGCTGACCGTCATCCATCAAAATGGAGGTTTCACAATGGTTTGGGTATCATTAAAAACTGTATTTTTCCCATGTATCATAGCTATTTTGGTATGGTTTTGGAGGCGCATTCATATGTTACAGAGAAAACCTGTATTACTTGAAAAGATGTTACTATGTTTAGGATTGGCTTTATGTCTGCTTAATATGCCACTTGAGTATCTGACGTTGCATTTTGACCTTCCATTTATGTTACTACTGGGAGACATAAGACAGGGTGTATTTTATGCTATGCTGTTCTCCTTTTGGCTCATATTTGCCGGGGAGCACATGTTAATACAAGATATATCAGCACAAAGCTCACTAAAACAATACTGGCGTCATTTGAGTGCTGTTGCAATGGGGTGCATTTCTTTATTTATCTTTGATATGTGTGAACGTGGGGTGCAACTTCGGAATCCATTTTACTCTATCTGGGTGACAGACATCGGAACCAATCTGGCATTAACATTCATTATACTGGCTGGGATATCGACTGGAGTGTACTTTTTATTCTTATGCTACATGGTGTGGCAAGTTTTTAAGAATATATCTAACAAACGGCAGACCCTACCCACCATGTGCTCTGTGAGGCGCTTGCACTATGAAGGTATTATTTATCGCTTTAAATTCCTTATGTTAGCCACACTTTTGTGTGCTGCACTGACTGTTATTGGTTTTATACTGGGGCAAGTTGCTGAGGGTCAGTGGAAATGGGATGAAAACATTGAGATCGAATACACCTCGGCATTCTTCACTGGCGTGTATGGAATGTGGAACATATACATATTTGCACTACTGGTTTTGTATGCACCGAGTCACAAGCGTTGGGCTGTCACTGAGAATACATCGGACACCCAGAATTTAAGTGAGGAGATTGAATTCAATGGAATACCCAGTGAGACGAGCAGTGAGATATCTTCATTGACATCATATATAAGGAAAGTCAATATTGATTAAATTGTTTATGGCCTAAATATGAAATATAGTTGAGTATTGCTTAACTTGTATGATGAAGTAATACTTAGTCTCAAGGAAATAGTCATATATCTTATCATTGGTAAACAACTATAACAGTATTTATTTAAGGAACAAGTTTTGTACTAAACTGTTTATTATGGAAATGTATTCCTTATTAGGTTACATTTATTTTATACTGTGTAATCTATGAAGCAATAACCACTTAGTAATAAGATATTCAAGTAGCTTTCTAGTACTATGGAGAACTGTAAACTGACTAATATAAACTAATAATGGATCTCAAATTTGAATATTAATTATGACAGCCATAAAGAATTTGTAGAGTATTTTTATAAAGCAGCTTCTAGTTCCAGTCTGAGTCATTTAAATATACAACTGGTTTTTTGACCTTGACTGTATCCAGTCTGTGCTTCCAATTGTGTGGTCGTGAACTTTTAGAATATAATTCAGTCATTTGATTAACAAGTTTTATTGGAGATCCCAGACAATTTTTGAGAACATTTACCTAATTGGTCCCTACATTAAAATGTATCTCTCTCTATAAAATCCAGTGCATTTTAAAAATATGTTTACTTTGTCATGATTATTTTTACTTATCTCTTCTGTGATAGATTTATATTTTATATTACCTTTAACAGTATTGCTAGATTTATTTTTGTGTTGCCAGCCGTCTAACTTGTATGTTATTTGTAAGTTTTAACTTAAATATTGGTAGTTTTTTAGTAACCCGTAAAGTATTTGTACCCATTTAGATACATAATTGATTAATAAAGTTATTGAATTCATATTGTTATTTTTGTTATTAACACAACTGATGGCAAATATTTTCCTAAGTGTTCTCTGAAATTATTTGCCTTTCGATTAAATGAAAATTAGGTTAGGGACGTCACAATTATTAATTCCCTTTTGTTATAGTGTTAACACAATTTATCAGAAACGTTTTTGATTGACACTTTGAATATAAAAAGTATATTATACTAGTCGACATTTGCAAAAACGAATTGCAAAAATCGATACATTAGCACTCTTTATCAGATAAAATATAAAGTGCATACTCAATAGTATATTCATATATATAAAAAAAACCAAGACTCGCAAAGATATTATAGCAACATTATATATTTAGATATATAAATATAACAATATATTAGGTATATTTTTTAGGATATTAAAGTGGACATGTGCATATCTTGGTTTTTCAAATTAGAAAATATGTAGGCATCAATTCTGTATCATCATCAATCATTAGATATGAAATCAATATTTAGGTAAATATTGGTTGGTAGTTTTAAATGGTTTTTCTCACAAACACAAAAGATAAAAATATTTAGCTGTAATTTATATAAGTAATAACATAAAGTACTTTTATATTATACGGTCACTGTACCCTTTTTTTTAATAAATTAAAAAGACAAAATAATGAAAAACTATTTTACAAAAATATAAAAAAAGTTGTTGCCTTCATATTTTCCATGTAGATTTTATTAATTATCCCAAAAACATCATTATACTAAGAGAATCGTTTAAAAGTAAGTACCATTGAAATTCAAAAGTATAAAATGAATTCGACTTTATTTGAAATGATGTTTTTGTGTTTTTTTTTCATCTTTAATTATCAATTGGAAATAACATATTGGAGTCATAATATACATTTTATTCCGTTGATTGGAAACGGTTGCAAAAACCTACGAATAATTGTAATATGGAAAATTGGAAAAAAAAACCATTTGTTTAAAAATTACTTGCTATTATTACATTAATAATTCTATTCAAGTGTAGAACGAACAACATACATGTTAGCAAATTTAATATCTCTACTAATGTTATTATTTTTATGAAGAGAAATCAACCATATTTTTACCAACATTAAAAAAGAAGGAGGTTCTCAATTCGATTGTATATTTTATGTTTGTTAACTCATAACTCCACTTCATAACTTATTTGGAAAATTCTTTTTTCATCTGAAAGGATATAGTTACCTAGTGGTCTCATAGAAATTTATCAAAATCGGTTCAGTTGTTTAGTTTTTAAATCAAAATAACTGGGTTTGCTACAATTTGTCTTTTTTTTTGGAACAAACTATACTAGCGAACGAATTTTTTTTTAACCGGGAGAAAAAGCCTACAACCGTTTCCAGGATTCCATCTGTCTTTATATCAAAATTCATCATAATCGATTCAGCGGTTTAAACGTGAAGGCGTAACAAACAAACTCACTTTCGCATTTATAATATTAAGGATATATCTGTATATGTATGATATATATTAGATATGACTCGAATATGTTACACAATTAGATAGTAAAAAATGTTATAATCCTTACTACGATTACATACTATATACGTAAATTTGTTTTTCTATATGTGGCCCAATTAGTGAACAGCCTGCATGTCTTTTTATCGAAATTTGAATTTTAAAAATAGAATAATAAATATAATAATAATAAATACAGAAACCTAGGCTAGACTCGGTGGAGGAATCAGTGGTCGTTTGTTCTTACGTAAATTTTCTTTTGTCTATATATATATATATATATATATATATATATATATATATAATTTTTTTAATTTATAATCTGGTATTTCGATAAAATGAGATATCAAAACTGTTTACTAATTTTGCCATGTGTAGAAAAACAAATCATATTTTTAAATATATTGCAATATTGATTCATTAATGGAAAATTATATTACGTTTTAAATTCCGAATTTGGACATAAGGGTGCAAATATTAAATAAACGAAGTCGTTACTGAAAAATTATGTTCAGGTATAGACTAGATACTTACTATAGGACTTAAAAAATTTTACCCTTCCATAGTTATTTTATTTTTGTAATAAACTAGCTGTTGCCAGTGACTTTGTACGTTTGGACTTTGGAAGCACGTATGAATACGTACACCAGACTTTAAGTTCGACTTCCTAGAATACAACTGAGAAAACCTAATCCAATTTGGTACAGTAGTTTTTGCATAATGCCAGAGCAAATATGGAAACAAATACACAAAATAAAAAAAAATATCGCTATGGCTTCTATACTTTTTAATAAGGCCCGCCATATTGATTTTTTTTAAATATCTCCTATATACAAACATCGTGTAATTACAATTTTAGACGTATGCAGATTTAATTTTAGTCCTTCGATCCGGATTTTTTATAATATTTTTAATAATTATTATTATTAATATAATAACAAATGTCCAAATTCAGAGCGATAACATAGACAATCGTAGTAAAGACTCGTCCCGGCGGCCTGAACACTTTCTAGATGTGTACATACCTCTGCACGGGTCGTTCTTGATCAGGAACTCGTCCAGGGCGACCCAGCCACCACCGACGCGGACCATCACCGTCGACCGGAGGATGCGGACCAGGCGGAGCTTTTGCGAGTCGCCGAACTGGTGACAACGAAACAGGATTTAATCATCATCGTCATTGTCAATCTATTGACGTCTAATTTTTGTGACGCCGAAACAAATGTACAGACAAAAGTTTTAAAAAATATTGTTTTAGCATTTATTGGTAATATTGAGCCCCTCATATCATTTTTCCTTAAATATATATATATATATATATATATATATATATATATATATATATATATATATATATATATGTGGTCTAGTTACAATTTTAACTTCAAAATTCAACTTACCCTGTATTTGCCCTCGCCAACTTGGAATACGCGGAACTTTTGCCGGCATGTGCACAGCATGACGAGGCGCTTCACTTCGTCGTGGATCTTGTCAGCGTCGGTCGGCGGACCGCGCCTCTCAACCTGTATGAAAAAAAAATCATTAAATAAATTAATAAGTGGATTTAAAAAAATTGTAGCACTGGCTAGATATATTAAGTCCATAATAGTCCGATAGGCTACGGTAACATCGTTTACCACCTATACTGTCTATTATCACTCTTTTTTTTTATTTCCCGTAATTTTTTTTTATACAACTTAGAATGGCAAACAAGCTAACGGCCCACCTGATGGAAAGTAGTAACCGGCTATATAAAAAACAGTATATCAAATGGTGGAGTCTGCTAGAACTTACCCAGTCAGGCCTGAGAGCGGCTATGAACTCCTCCCAGTCTATGAGTCCGCTGCCGTTCCTGTCGAACAGGTCTGCCACCGCGCCCATCTCCAGGCGGGACGTGTCGAACTCTGGGCGAAAATTAACTTTATTACAAGGGGGTTAAGTTTTATTACTAATTTATTTCAGTTAGGTAACAAAGCCTTCACTCTTCTCCTTTTTATCAACCGACTTCAAAAAGAAGCAGATTCTCGATTCGGTTGGATTTTTTTAATGTTTTTTTCCTCATAACTGCGTCATTTGTAAATCGATTCAGTGTAGTTTTTAATCAAAATAAACCGCTTTTTTTTTCACTATTAAAGTCGTTTCTATTTTCGTGAAACACAATGCGAATGACAATTTAAAAGGAAGCTAATGATTTAAATTCTGTCCTATTTTTTTTTATTATTAGGTATATCAATTGTTAACTGTCCACTTCTGAACATAGACCTTCCCTATAAGGGAAGTTTTGCTAGTAGTTATCACGCTTGGCAGGCGGATTGGCAACCGCAGTTCGCCTTTGGTGATGTTTTAAGCGAGACGTTGCTGCCTATCCCTCGACCGTAAAGTTCCCTCAGTCGCCTCTTACGACACCCACGAAAAAGGAAGGGGCGGCCCATTTTAAGCCTGGACGGTACGGCGATTTGTCCTTTATACCACAATAAGTGCACGTGTACCGAATACTGTACATAATTACTCACTGGTGCCAATGATGCCGTCTATGAACTCGTTCCTGGGTATGAGGCCGTTATTGTTCTTGTCCATTTTGCGGAACAGATCAGTCACTCTGGACTTCTTGTGGTTCATGTACTTCATGAACTGTTGGCAATAATGCAAAGGTTAATTTGCAATTGGTCACATTTTCATATTATTTGTTCATGGTTTGAAAAATTTATAAATCAAACTTTTATAATGTAGGCTCAGTTTTTATATTTATATACTTAAAATTGATTAGCATAAGCCATATTACTGTTTGATTTTACGTTCTAAAAACAATATTAGAAACAATTTTAAATATTTGATTAAAATAGTATTATTATAATATATTCCAGAATATCCGGCTCAGAGGACCAACAAATAGAGGTACTAGTAATTAACTAGTTTATTAATACCTACTATTATTTTAATTATATAAATAATTACTTTTAAAAATATCACTTATATGGTTACATTTGACACCCGAACATCAAATTGGATAAATTTCCAGCTTGTAACAATCAATGTACATAATTTTTTTAATTGACTCAATAGGTTTTCATAACTAATAACGTACTATAAAAAATTAATTAATTAGAAGGTATTGTCAAGTTAAAATATATTTTTTAGAGTTACAAAAAATTTTAGTCGCTCACCCTCTTTCTCCAGTCGTCCCAGCTGAAGTTCGACACGCGCTGCAGTTCCCTTAAATGAGCGAGACGCTCGTGCAGCCGTCTCTGTCTCTCCCACGCTAACAGCCACACTGTACGCCATTTGTCCCACAGTTGTTTCACTCTCGCTGAACGGAACTCAGGCTCTGCGCCTTTGCTGTATAGACATAAGGTTTATTTTAGATTGTTTAAATAACATATAATAAAATATGAGCTTCTAGGCTATAATATTTATTGCTTGTGATGAAACTTTTTGTCGACGATTCTCTTTTACATAAATAATTATATCTGAAAACGGAATATTTATAATTTAACTGGTAAACAAACAATTGATTTTTATTAGGTACAAAGATCTGTTTCTTGTTGGGGTAGGCAGATACAATAGGGGTATGGTATACATGTGTTTATATGTGATTTTTACACATTATTGTCAACTCTATATTCACGGTCCAAGTCCATTGCGGGGTAGACAAATAGAACCAGGTGTGAATTGTGAAAAATTGAAAAAGGAAAATATATATAAAGATAGAGGCAATCTTTATATAATATATCTTCCTTCCTCAACTTTCGTAACTAAGATACTTTTGACTTCTTCTCGTGATTAACATTCGTGTTTCAACCGTGAAGCAGTTGTGTTTGCATGGCTGTGTTTCGGTTTGAAGGGTGGGATATGGCGTGAATTTACTGGGTACAGAGGAATAACACCTGAGTCCTCAGGAATGGCAACGCATGGGGGTATCATAGGCGAAACAGTATACTCTGTTATGTCCATGGTACTGCTCATGTCTGTACGGACGGTTACCACTTTCCATCAGGTGGGCCGTCAGCTTGTTTGCCATTCTAAGTTGTATAAAAAAAAATATTAAAGCAACAATACGTAATTGTACTATTTACTTCTAAATAGCAGTTTCAAATTTCGACATCCATGCTTATGCAAAAAGAAATCTATTCGCTATATACTATATTAAAATTGGCACTCCGTTATATCTAGGGTTGGCACAAATAGCACAAACAAAAAAATAAATAAACACACAAGCATCGCCTGTAATGACGTTGACCAATGAAAATAATTCATTAAACAGCGTACATTAACCCTAACAAGCGTTTGAAGGGTTCAGAAAATACTTACTTCGTCTTAATATTAAATTGTAACCCAAATATTTTATAATTTTTAAGAAATAAATGTTTCAATTCAATTGGTTTTGTTTGTAGCAGATTTTAATATTGTTTATTCCATATTTTTGGGTGTTTAAAAAACAAAACGAAAATGTTATAAAGTAAAATTTTACATATATTGTAGATAATAATTTAATAATATATTAAACAATATATCCCTAAATATATAATTTGTAAGATTTTTAATAAATAAAACTATGGGGTAACTAGAAATTGTATCAATTTTTTACACTTACACGTGAACCGGAAAATTGCCTACACCGGCAATAATAAATAGAAATGCTAAAAATCAGCTAAAGGCGGCAAATATAATTTGCCCGGAACGGCAGAATAGCTACATACGGACTTGGAATTATATATATATATATATATATATATATATATATATATATATATATATTACTATTTACTCTTGTATTGCAGTTGTTTAATAAATTGTTTTATATAGTAATATTTTTTGTATTTATGTATATATGTATTTATTGTATGTATATATTTAACATTATGTGTATGTTTATATTATATGAATTTATTAAGTATTGCTTTATTTTTCCTTTATTCAAAAATCCACCGCCTACGTATTTCTCAGTTCGCCCAATGGTTGACTGGTAGAGAACACAGTCCGGTGTTAAGTCCGCCAAATGTACATAGAATTTTACTGTGCGCTAAAGTTTATATGAATAAATATATCTTGATTGAGGGCGAACCAAGTGAATTGAAACAGGGTAAACGCGCCGTGGACTTACCTTCCCTTCGGTGGGAACCTGGGTCCGTAGTGCGGCAGGACGCGGTCCGGACTGTCCCGGCCGGGACTCACACGGCTAGAGCACACGCATCATTATTACAACAAAGTATCGTAACAAACTGTTAGTACGCACGTTACCTGGTTAGTGTGGCGGTGTCGCTGTGCTGTTAGTTCACGTACTGTTACCATCCACCCGCGAGTATTTTGAGAAAGTATATTTTATTATGTTATGTAAAAAAATTTGTATATATCGCTCTTTTATTGTTGTTTATTTTTTTTTGTTACTATTGTTACAATTTTTGTGTACTTGTGTGCGCACGTACGTGTGCATGTGTGTGTTGCATTTAATATGCTTTCTCAAAATATACTCACATTTATGCCCAGGCGAATATGTTAAACATTCTACGTATGATTACAACTAGCTAATGTTATTTTAAACTGATTTATTCTAATAATAATATAAGCACGTAATTTTAATGCTAATTAGTTTGCAATGTGAAAATATAAAAGTTAGTTTATAAGTGGCAACCCTAAATGTGTTATAAATGAACCATGCGTTTCTTGTATTTTTTTCTTTTAAACATTTCCTGTCTATAAAATACAAATTTCTTTTAATAAATAATTTTAACAATATTTATATACATAATTAAACAAAAATAAATTTAAAGGATCTTAAAACAAAGTAAGATTATTGTATTACTATAACATAGGTACTCGTAAATTTAAAAAATAAAAAAATCTACAAGTCTTTATTGGCATTTATGCACCATTATAAGTTGCCGAAGGTCTAATGTTATTTGAAAGTAAATACTTTGTAATTTGTACCTACAGTACAGTATATATAGAAAGAAAAAATATGTAAAAAATACATCAACGTATTTACCTAAAATAGAATCCAAAACGACTGCATTCAATAAGTAAGCAAGAAGAAAAAAAACTTCAAATTAAAAATAATTAAACGCTCGCAGATTAAGAATAATTCTCTATCTACGAAAATACAAATATATCACTATTTTTTTTTTATTTTCATTCAAACGTCACTACCATGCTATAATAAATAATAATAATAAAAAAAACAATCATCATTCTACAATAATGCAAAGCATACACATCTACAACTACGACTAAAAACCTAAAAAAGGTGACAATCCTAAGAAAAATTAATTCAAACCTTCCTCTCCTACTTCGACTGTGTATCCGGGACCTGCCGTGTTGAAGCGAGTGCGACATAGGGACGAGACAGAAAGCCACATTTACAAGGTATTAGAGCAGGACGAAGCTATACACGTTTTGCCGCTAGACGGTTTTTAGGTTATAATTTGATATCACAGATAAAAAAAAAGCTAAGTAATAATGCTACGAAATATTTCGTTGCATATACAGATAATGTTATCCGACACTAAGACTAAGAACTTTAATTATTTCATAATCTTAGCCACAACGTTAATAAATTTTATAATTCTAAATTACAGTTACAAAAATAAAAATAAAATGTACCTTCTAGCGACAAAATACCTAATACAGATTAAAATGTAAAAGCATTACATCAGTTAAGACACAATAACATTTTCTCGAGAGAAAATGCGACATATTTTTGTAACCAATTTCAATATTTAAAAAGTCCAATATATTAATAAACATATACATATTAACAATTCAAGTATCTTGCTGTCTAAAGAACTATAAATCATAATAAAGTGTATAAAAATAAAAATATTATTTTGTGACAGTAAAAATTTAAATGATTGAAATTGGTGTATGAAAACATTTAAAGAAATTATTTTTTCAATAGAAACATTTAAATTAAATATCAAGGGACTCTTCTGGAGAGAACAGAAAACGTCGATATTTCCTGTCAAAGCTTGCGATTTTTTAATGCTATTTTTATTTTTAATAGCTAAGTAACTGTATTAAGTCGAAAACTAATATATAAAGACTTTTTTGTATAAATTTAAGGTTTAACAGAGTAGTGTTATTTCTTATAATCGTAAGTCGAAGCTAATCTGTACCTATAATATAATAGACATGCCGAATATAATTTGATTAATAAGTTATGTATTAAAGGAGAGTAAATAAAAAAAAAGGTTTTTTTTCGCAGTGAATATTTTTTTTTTGTTTATCCATGTAGTACGTTATTGTAAGTCTATGATTTATTTAAAAGGAAATGGCAAAGGGCTCTGCCCATACAGCTCATGTCTATCGTAATAATTCTTTCAATAATTATAATGGCAGCATTATTGCAGCTAGCTAGCTACTTTAACAGTAATAACATAAATATGTTACACTGGAATAAATCTTAAAATCAGTTGAAATTGATAAAGATATTGCAAAATATATGCAAAAAATCTAAATCACTTAAAAAGCGCAAAACTCGACAGGAATTAGATTACTCTTAGAAGAGCGTCTTAATTGAAGAGTACAAATAGTGTTAGAAATTTAAACAATTGAATATAGAAAAGTTTAAAAGAAAAGAACGTAGAAAAAAAAATTAAAAATAAAAAAAACACACCTGTAACGTCTAGTGCCGTAATAGTCGGGTGATACAGATCTGTCTCTATTGAGGTCGTGCTGAGATCCACGCCTGTATGTACACGGTACGAAGCGACACACCATGCAATGACGTCACAGTGATGGCGTGCGATGAATGTGCATGACACGTGACACGCGAGAACAAAATGAGAAATGAACGAGAGAACAAATAAAAAAAATTAAATTCAAAATTGAACCTTGGCAGTATGGTGATAAGAGTTGTTACGTACCCAGGTGCGCCCTTCGTGGCGCTCTTGGCCGACACTTTCCTTGGTGTTGATTCGCGGCCTTGGCTTTGTGTCTTGACCTGCATTTACAATAGTATTGTTAAAAAAAAAATCTCACCACAAACAATAAAGGAACTTACTATCTATAACATGCAGAGCATTTTAACAATATTATTTGTGAGAACTGGTGGCTGTACTAGGCGTTAAACCTGTACAAGTCACCAGAACCCTTACTTCGAATAGTACAAATTATACTAAGATACAGATTATAAAAAAATTTCAAAAAAAAAAATGTAAACAAACTGGCACGAAACTTTTTTTTTTATACAACTTAGAATGGCAAACAAGCTGACGGCCCACCTGATGGAAAGTGGCAACCTATAATCTACACAATATTAAATATATATGAAATTTTTCCTCCCAGTCCTATTTTTATTCACATAGTGGCATCAAAATGCCGAATTCATTATTTACTCCAAGTAGGAGGTACCCAATTTTTAATTTAGATATTTTTTACTAGGAATTTCTATTATCTTTTTTTTTAATATTACTAATTATAAACGTTACAAAATAAAAGTTTTCATATTTTTTTTTAACATCAAACTTTTTTCGCACGTGTGCCCCACACTGTGTTTCTTTTTATTATACAATTTAGAATGGCAAACAAGCTAACGGCCCACCTGATGGAAAGTGGTAACCGTCGCCTATAGACATGAGCAGTACCATGTACATAACAGAGTATACTGTTTCGCCCATGATACCCCCCATGCGTTGCCATTCCTGAGGACTCAGGAGTTATTCCTCTGTACCCTGTAAATTCACGCCATATCCCACCCTTCAAACCGAAACACAGCCAGCAATAACCTTTTATTTTACTTTGTTGTTACCGACCTGGTACGCTTTGCAGACGCGGTCGACTTCGTTCTGCCTCTTCTGCGTGTGTTCCATTAATTCCTTATGGTCTTCAATAAGATTTTCCAGCAGTTCGATGGATTCTGGCAGAGGTTCCGCTTCCAATGCTAAACAAAGAATTACTCTATATAAATATATATACATACTTATATGTACTTTTGTATTATTATGTACTCAGAATAGGTATAGGGCCAATTGAAGATAAACACTTTCATCAAAAAGGAAAATAAAGAATAAAAATCAATTCACGGATGATAAAAACAATACATATCTTTTTTTTTAAATAAACTGTAACTCCCTTATCCATAAAAACGTAAAACGTTCTAGTAAACTATTAAAACTATTACATTGTTTTTCACTTTCTTTCAAATTGGGACTTTAGCACAAAAGAAAGAGACAAAACTAAAATAATTTTATAAATTAAATGTGTTATTAAAAAATGAAATTTAATAGCTAAAATAGTTTTATGAGAGCTTTGATGTTTTTTTATAAATAAGGGGGTTATTCCATATTTGGTGAAGGTCATTAATCTAAATTAATATTATAATTTTTTTTATACAACTTAGAATGGCAATCAAGCAGACAGCCCACCTGATGGAAAGTGGTAACCGTCGCCTATAGACATGAGCGGTACCACGGACATAACAGAGTATACTGTTTCGCCCATGATACCCCCCCATGCATTGCCATTCCTGAGGACTCAGGTGTTATTCCTCTGTACCCAGTAAATTCACGCCATATCCCACCCTTCAAACCGAAACACAGCCATACAAACACAACTGCTTCACTTCACTCCACTTCAATCGACTTTTGTACAAATCCCTCTTAATATATTAATTTAATGTAACAATTTTTTTTTAAATTTATAATGGATAAATTAAAAAAAAAAAACTTAACTGGTTTTAAAAAATCTTTTGCCTACAGAGAGCTACGTTATCAACGGGTACCATGATTTGTATTTTTTTTAAATTTACTAATTTATCTTTCTACCCATGTACCGTATTCCATATAGAACCCCAAATATACGTATATACTCACAAAGCAGAGTACTCTCCAAGCCGATGAGCCACTTAAGCAGCTCCTCCAACACCAAGTCGAGGTCCTTCAAGCTCTGCATATGCGACTCTAGCTTGCCGCCGCGCTGCATCGCCCACTGCCATACCTGTGTAACATCCACACATAACTAATTGTCAACTGGGGCGCTTATTTACAATTATTTACATTCATTAATAAATTCACTTCTTTTTAATATTTTATCGGTAAAGAACTACTCAATAATCGTTGTTTTGACAAATATATTTTATATATGTAAAGCATGTATAAAACAAAGCATACATGTCTTCATTTTTGTGCACAATATTTACTAATGTTATAAATAAAGCTAGATAGATTGGCCAAATCCACTTGTTCCTACCAAAATCCCCCCTATGTAGTCTTGTACAGTGGATTTTTTTTATACAACTTAGATTGGCAAACAAGCAGACGGCCCACCTGATGAAAAGTGGCAACTGTCGCCTATAGACATGAGCAGTAGCATGGACATAACAGAGTATACTGTTTCGCCCATGATACCCCCCATGCGTTGCCATTCCTGAGAACTTCGGTGTTATTCTTCTGTACCCAGTAAATTCACGCCATATCCCACCCTTCAAACCGAAACACAGCCATGCAAACACAACTGCTTCACGGTTGAAACACGAATGGGACAGAGGTGTCCAAGCAATCGACTTTTGTACAAAAGTCTCCCTCTGGTTCCTACTATTGTATAAGCAGTATAGATGAATAGTCATCTCTTACGGAGATAACATATAGCTATTCTCTGCTTCAAATGTAAAAGTGAATTTATTGTTTATTTATGTAACATATTACGCGGTATCAACTCGACCTGATGTTCCCTATATCTGAGATGAAAAAGATATAGCTTAGTTTTTATATCAGTTAATTTTTATTTGTTTATTTATTTTTAGATAACTTGGATCCATTTTTTGTTAGTAAGTGTACTTAAAAACTATGTTAATCTAAACTATATTAAGCGAAAGAATATTAACTAACTGTTTCCTGCGGCTCCGCCTGCGTAAGCCAATATACAAAGTATCCTATGAGGTAAGTTAGGAAATAACCTAATTGTGTTTCCCCCATGTATGTTGTGTGTGTTATATTATATGTATGTACCCGTGTACTAAATTTCATTCAAATCCGTTCAATAGTTTTTGCATAAAAGAGTAACAAATATCTATCCATCTATTCTTTTACATTGATTATAACACTAGCTGTTGCCTGCGACTTCGTCCGCGTTTCCGTCGTTTTTAGTATTATAAGTAGCCTATGTCCTTCCTCACGGTTCAGTGGTTTTGATATAACAGACACATTCCCTTTCACTTCTCTGCTCTTATTGATCGTAGCGTGATGAAAAGTATACTATAACCTGCCCAGGAGTATGAAGAATAATTGTACCAAGTTTCGTTAAAATCCGTCGAGTAGTTTTTGTTTCTATAACGAACATACAGACAGACAAAAAAATTACTGATTGCATTTTTGGCATCAGTATCGATCACTAATCATCCCCTGTTAGTTATTTTGGAAATATATTTCATGTACAGAATTGACCTCTCTACAGATTTATTATAAGTATAGATAATAATTAGGATTTATGAACGTACTGCTTACGGATGTCACACCGGGTACAGTACATATAAATAAATATATGAATTCGGCCAAAATATATGAACTCACCTCATCCCATCTACTCTGGATGATAGTGATCCAGTGTTTGATGACGGTGACCGCGTCGGGATGGGCCTTGCCCAGTATGGAATGTGCTAGCGTGATGGTCTCCTCCTTGTCTTTCTGCTTCTCTTTCAGCTCGTATATGAACCGCTCGTGGTCCCTGATCTGCTGCAGTGTCTCCTGGTCGCCTTCAGGCAGCTGCCCGGAGAACCGGAGCTTGGTCTCGGCGTCGGAGAGCCATTCCAGGAGCATGTTGACGGAGCGGTGCAGTTTCTCAGCCTGGTGAAGATAAATATATTATGATTATGATATTGTTTATCACGTTGCAATGTCAATTATGTTTATGGTTGACTGGTACCAAAGTGTTAAAGCCGGTGTGGCTTTGATTTACATAATAAGGACGCATGTGGCGTAACCCGATAGCTCAGGTTACTATTCCATCGTCATTATCACTATTTCAGCCGTTAACTGTCCACTGCTGGACATAAGCCTTTCCCATAAGGGGAGTTTTGTTATTAGTTGCCACGCTTGGCAGGTGGGTTGGCAATCGCAGTTAGATCTTTGGCGATGTTTTAAGAAGAACGCTGCTGCCCATTCTTCTACCCTTAAGTTTTCTTAGTCGCCTCTTACGACATCCACGGGAAAGGAAAAGTAGCCCATTCTGTTCCATCATCGCTCATCAAAAAACCTAGATGATTATTAGAAAGTACATACCTCCTTGAGGGCGCCTTCCAGCTTGTGAGCCTTCTTCTCGCTGAGGCCGAGCACCTGGTCCCAGGCGCGCTGCAGTTCGCTGCACTGCTGCCGGATGGTGGCGGCATCTTCCGCTGGTACCGTGGCCTGCAGTTCACGCCCGGTCTTCAGCACCGACTGCATCTGCTGCTCGCGGGAGTGGAGGTCCTCTTCGAATTGCTGCAGCCATCAAATTTATGGTTAATGTAAGAATCGTCATGTTTCTTTTTTTTATACAACTTAAAATGGCAAATAAGCTGACGGCCCATCTAACGGAAAGTGGTAACTGTCGCCTATAGATATGAGCAGTACCATGGACATAACAGAGTATACTGTTTCGCCCATGATACCCCCATGCGTTGCCATTCCTGAGGACTCGAGAGTTATTCTCCTGTACTCTGTGTCTCTTTTGGTGTTCGTGCGTGAATATGAAGATAATATTTTTATTCTAATTAGATTCTTATTCATAAAATTTATGAATTTTATTCACTTTCGTATACATCTTGAATTATTTCAAATGTTAAACTCCATAAGAGGAGTTCTGCTAGTAGTTGTCATGCTTGGCAGGCTAGTTGGGAACTGCAGTTTAGATATTTTAAGAGGGAAGCTGCTGCCCATCCCCTGATCATTAAGTTCCCTTAGTCACTTCTTACAACATCCACAGGATAGGAAGGGATGGCCTATTCTATGTGGTCCCTTACATGAAAGTTTTTTTAGCCATACATTAAAAATGTATTGCAAATAAATGATAAATGAGTTTAATAGCTAAAATAGGTTTGTTAGGATACTATAGGATTAGACCTACATGAATAGAGATATTTTGAATTTTACTTCGAGATTTTTCTGAAAAAGGAGAATAATCTCTGCTAGCAAAATCATTGACTCTTAGACTGAGTATGAGAAGCTGGAGTGGAAATTGTTTCTGCAGTGAAGCAGTTGTTGGCGTTGTTATGTTTGAAGGCAATATGGCAATGAATTACAGGACACACAGACATACTACTCAGGAATGGCAACTACTCCATATATACAGCAGAATGGACATATGGAGACCCTTTATAAGTTAAAATTTGTATTTATTACCTTATGTTGTTCAATGAGAGCCATAACAGTGTCGAGGTCGCCGTGCACGGGCGAGTCTGCGCCAAGTTCTTTCTGTTGCTTCTTCAGCCACTCGAGGAGCGCGGACATCGCGTCCTTAAACTGGCCAGAGTACAGCAGCGCCTCTTCGAGTTTGCGTTGTCTATGGATTATGAATATAGTTAGATATATATTAAAGATTTTTTTTAATCATTATTTATATTACAATAAAAATAAGTTTGTTACTTTGTAACATCTTAATAGTAGTATTTAAAATAAATAAGACTAACTTTATTTAATTGCATTTCAGGAATTAAATAAAGTTATTTTATAACAATATACGTGATTTTTAGGCGAAAAATATGGGCACTGCCTTAATAGATTTAGTCTTGTGGAATCAAATCATTTTAATATCTATAACAAAAATAAAATTGACTGTATTAGTGTTGTTTAAATAAATAATATTATTCAAATATATGAAAATTATTTTTTAACGCAATATTTTATACTTTGATTGTAAAAGTGCCAAAAGACAAATCTCAACGCGGAAATATTTTTACATAATGACAATAAAGCAAACTTTACCTGTCCACGGCCTTCGAGCAAACAGTGGTCCATTTAGATTTGAGATCGCTTATCATCGTCTTGAGCGTGTTCTCATCGCCCTTGGGCGCTTTGTCCTTGAGCTGCTTACCCGTCTTCATGGTCTGATCGTAGGCGGGCTGTTTAGCGGCGAGCGCCTTTTGGAAGTCACGGTGTTTGTGTAACCTGGTTATTTAAAAAATAAATCCCTAATTATTTTGAAATATTGATAAGTAGCGCATAAAACGTTCGTGACGAAATATAGATAAGATTATTAGTAATATAAATGTATAAAGAAAAGAAATCTTTTCTAAAAAATGTATACATTATTGTTAAAATGTTTTTTCGTTTTTTATTTTAAATGTACATAAGTCCACTTTTCTGTGACGTAAAGCGCTACAACGTACTCCGCTTGAAGATGGTTTTCGGATGAAGTCGATTGTCGGAAATGACAAACATAGTAAGTTCATAAAATTCCCGTTATACATATATAGAGACAAAGTTAAAATTGTATATAGTTTTCTATGAATACAACATGTATATGTACATATTTAATTTCAACAAATTCATTTTTAATTAGGAACTTAGCATTGTAATAGTTATTACAATAATATAATACGTTAATACGTATTAATAAACATTAATAATGTTAATTTAAAATATTAATTTTTAAGAAAAAAATATAACTTGGCTTTACAAACTACCGCGCTTAATATTCACAACACTAACCTCTGTTTGATTTTCTCTGGGTCATTGACTGTGGCTTCCGAGTTGAGTTGATCCAGCTGCTGTTCAGTGTCAGTGAGCCAATTCATCAAGTTGTTCCTGCGGGATACATATACATAAAATACATAAAGTACGTACATATTTCATTCAGTTAAATTTATTATAGAATCAAAGTGGAATTATTAAATATTAGATACAATGCCAATTTAAAATATTATTTCCTGTGTGATTAAAAACTTTCCTGACATTGTAAATATTATGTGTGTATACATATATGTATAAACAGTAGCTTCAAATGTTAAGAAAAATTTTTTTTTGGAAATCACTTAAGTATACAAATGTATTAAAACTTAATATTTATAGGAATACGGTTTAAAATCGTATACGAGTCTCGAGTAACTCACCACATATCGGAGAACTCTTTAGCTTCCTTAAAACCGTGGTCGAGGGCTCTCGTCCTCTCGGCCGCCTTGGAGACCACCCTCTCCCATCTATGCTGCACGGAGACGAGCAGATTCTTGATGAGGATCACATCCTGTTTCTGGCTGAAGTATTTCAGGTGGGTACCCTTCTTGTCCAGGTGGAGCATCGTCTCTCGGTGAGTGGCCACCTCCTTTTGGAAGGACTTGTGTTCTTCGATTTGGGCTGTGGATTTTTATATACGTCAATATTGTTTGATCTATATACAGAGGGCGCCACCGTTACTTGAATAGCAATAAGAAAATAATATGCTCATAACTGTAATTCAGTTCTCTGGTACAACTGACTTCGACTGCTTAAAATAGGTTACAATGGTTAAGGTAAAAATTATGGTGATGCAGATGATGTAATCCCTGATAGGGTTGTTAGAAACATTTTTTGGACTGAACAGTGAAGTGTCCACATTTCACTAACAGTATTTAAATGGCATGTAAGAGAAAGGCGATCCTAACTCTTAGATCATCTATAGAGTGCATATATACTGTACAGATAATTAAGTTATTAATTATTCTAGAAAAAAAAAAATATTTATTTATATATTATATACATTATTTTTCTATGATAGAAATTAGGCAAAATCAGATGTTTAGATTCAAACTTGATGTTCATAAGTAGTGAGTAGGAATTTTATTAATCATGCAGTTACATAATCTTTGTATATTTTATTTGCTGAATAACTACCGAGGTTTTCCCAAGAGACTACAGCATGGGCTTCTTCAAAAGGGGGGTAAAGAGGTTTCTTCAGGGTCGGCAACGCGCGCGTAATACCTCTGGTATTGCAGGTGTTCATAGGCTACGGTAACCACTTACCATCAGGTGGGCCGTATGCTTGTTTGCCACCTCAGTGGTATAAAAGAAAAATACTAAATTAAATGCAAAATGTTATATAAAAAAAAAATTATTATTCCAAATGCATCGAAAAAATTGAAAGTACATCTCGTAATATTATGGTTCTAAATATGATATAATAATATGCTCCTATCTTATAGTATACTCACTGAGCAAGGTCTCCATGACCCTGGAGACGGGTTTGGCGGAGGTGAGGGTCTTCTCAGCGCTGGTGAGCCAGTCCACGAATGCTTGCAACGCGTCGTGGAACTCCGTCGCTTCTTTCAGCGCTATCTCCAGTTTGATCTTCTTGTCTGACGCTCTGTAAAAGAGAGTTTAAATTTAACATTATGTCTAGCTCATAGGTTCTAAATGTGAGCGATAACGCCCTCTTGGGGACCTTTAAGACTTTCAGGGAAACAGTAGAAAATTCAGAAAAAATTAAGGGGGCCAGAGATAAGATAATATAATTCATCATTGAGATGACGCAGAGAAGGCGTGGGCAGATTAAAAAATATGGTTTAAAAAAGGCAGATGGTAAGTAAAATTAAGATTAGAGATTCTACAAAAAAAAAAAAAACAAATTGGGCGTTGGACAAAATAAGGTTAAGATACTATATGGTTTATCATACATATATACATATATAAAAATATGGTTTATCTGATAAAAACAAATAATTATTAGATTATTATTTTACGCCCCTTAGTGCATAATGATCACGATGTATTTTAGGCGTCACAGTGTATTCTGTGACATCCACGATGATGTTCATATCTATAGGCGACGATTATTTCCATCAATTTAAGTGGATCGTCAGTTTTCTAAGTCAAATTGTATAAAATACATTATTTTCTTTTACTAATAGTCAGGTAAAACGGTGTAGTTACCTGGCGGTGACACTGTCCCATCTGGTCTTCAAGGTCTTCAGATTGTGATGGAGCTGCGAGGTTGGGTTGGGTTTTTCCTGGCGTTTGAGGTACTCTTGACCTTGCTGCAGTACAGCTTCTACCTTCGGCCGATTGGCTTCGATCTCGTTGTATACCTCCTGTTGTTAAATTAATACATTTATTATAATTATGTATGTACATATTTATTTTTAAATAAACTTGGATTTGCTTAACATAATCTGGCGAGTTTAATGAATAGATTGAAACATTTACATCGGTTTATTACCGGGATATAAGCCGTGTGTCCCGGCATAGAATAGGCCACCACTTCCTTCCCGTGAGTGTCGTAAGAGGCGACTAAGAGAGGGCGAATGATGTGAATGTGTGAATGTGAATAGGACATTTTCCGCGCTTAGCCTCTAATTTGGACCGTTGTGCGTATGAGTCGTGGCTAGTATAGCCAACCTAGTTCCGCCCAGAAGCACAGAAGCTTCCTGGGATCTTCACAGGCCTTACGGAGCGACTAAACAGCGAAGGATAGGCAATAGCGTCCTTCTTAAAACATCTTCAAAGCCTAATTACATCTACTAGCAACACCCCCTAAGGAGGAGGCTTTTGTCCAGTAGTGGACAGTTAAAGTCTAATATGATGATGATTACCAGCGGTTTATAAATAACAAACCCTATTTTGATTCGTATACAGTGAAGTTTTTAAAATCCTGGGACTCTTCAAGTCTATGACAAATAAGTATTTTTGGGTGAGCGCGCTCCATTGTAGGTCTCACTCTCATTAGGCGAGGCAGGCACAAACCCATATTGAAAAAAAAAAACAAGATATAGCAATAAAAAAAAAAGTTATACACAGTTCTATACACTGTATAAGCTACAGTGTTTTAATGCCTGATAGTTAGTAGATTACTGACATTCCTCCGCCCCATAACATTTCCCGTGATCTTACCATGAATCTCTCGAGCTGTTCGGAAGCAGTCTCGGGCAGACCGCCGACTGGTTTAGAAGCAGCGATAACGCCGTCCACTTCGGAGAGCCACGATAGAAGATCGCCAATCTCGGCATTGAAGCTGTAAAGAATATAGATCATGATTTTTCTGTCAAAGTAAACTTTTTTATGAACAACCTTCAAAAAGAAGCAGACTCTCAAAATTCGTATTCTCTCTCTCTCGTAAACTCTCAAAAAACGTATATAACTCCGTTAGTTCTATATCGATTTGGAAAATTATTTTCTTATCTGAAAGGATATATTCACAGATTGGTTCCATACATATTTTATCGAAATCTGTTGAGTAATTTAATTTTTAGAATAAAAAAAAAATTGATATAATTGAAGTACTTTTGTAGGCACATTCTTTATATATAAAAAAAAAAAAATCTCTTAAAACACATATGTACTGCTTCAAAATATCAATCAACAATGACACAAATTCACGTAAGATGAATTCAAATAGGAAGCCCGAATAACTTGAGTTGCCATTCAAGATGAAGAAAGGTCATGAAGAAATAAGAATATTCGAAGCAGATTAGTTCATACTTTATGAAAAATATATATTTTTTACCTCTGGGCCTCTCTTAGAGCATCCTCGAGCTCCGTCTGGCGGTCTCTGGCTTTCTGCTGCAGTTCACGCCATTTCCTATTCAGTGTTGCCAACTTTTCAGCTGTTTCACCCGCTTCCTCTGTACCTGTTGAGTTTAAGAGTATTTTCCAAGATATTATTTATATTCTGTGATGACAATATTAACTCTTGACTTGTCATATTTAATTTTTTTTTATTCTTTCCATGTTGTTTGTTAAATTTTATAAAATTGCTGTTATATAAAAAATACGTAATTTACTAAGGTTAATGAATCGAAATAAAAATATAAAATTTTTAACAATAACAATAGATTTATCATAAGAATTAGTTTAATGTTTTATGTTTTTTTTTTTATACAACTTAGAATGGCAAACAAGCTGACGGCCCACCTGATGGAAAGTGGTAACCGTCGCCTATAGAGCTTCATATACATTTTCATTTTATTCATAAATATTATCAATATCTTTTGATTACCTTTCAAATTAAAGTTTAATTCTATCAAAAGAGACATACCATGATTATATATATCAGTAAGATTCTTGTAATTGTTTGTATCTATAATAAGTTTACTATTGTAATCTTTTGGAGGAAACAATAAAGAGTATCTATCTATCTAAGATAACATTAATTAGATTGATTTATTAGATGTTAAACGTTATTTGTAATTGAAATAATGTATGCATAATCTGTCTTTTATACTTTTCGTATTTAGTCGATAAACATCGCATATTTTTTTTATAATAGAACACTAGAAAAAAAGAATACAAAAACATAAATATTTGTAATTTGTTGTAATTATTAAATAACGACTAGATTGTAATTATTAAATAATATAAAGGTATAATGTAATCAAATGACGAGGACAAACTTATTATTCTTGGCATTTCTTTATCACTCTTATTTTTAAAATTGAGTACATATAATTGTTAATTATTTTTATTTTGTCATATTTTTTATGACCAATTAAAATGTCAAAATTGTTCACTAAATGTGGCAAAAAACAAATTATACATAAATACAATAGCTAATAATGATACTCAGAAAACGACGACAATGACAATGGCCAAATTAAAATATAAGATTATGTACGAAAAACACGACACACGAACACACAAAGCGTAAAGCATTAGTGCATGACGCACGATTTGTATATAGAACGATAGATGCGTGAGTGAGATCACTTATGTAAATCTATACTTTATCATGACATGTTGATGACAACACAATGTGTTACACAGTTCATGACAATATGTTTATGGCAACAGAGCGTCCTGCAAGGTTGTTAAAAACATGTCGATAACAACATCACACGTTGCATAGTTATTGACAACATGTTAACGGCAACATAACATGTAACAGAGTTGATAACAACAGAGCGTATTGCAAGGTTGTTAAAAACATGTTGATAGTAACACCACATGTTGTATAATTAATGACAACATGTTGATGACAACATATTTATGACAATACAGTGTGTTGCCGAGATGATAACATGTTGATGGTAACACAGTCACTTGTAAATTAATAACAACATGTTGATGGCATCTGAGGGTACGAACATTGGAACCGATTTTAATGAAATTGGTCGATTAAAAACCAATAAAATCTTAGAGGAATGAAACAGTCGTGGGTAAACTAGTAATGCTGTAAATATGAAATTAATAGAAAGTTACGATGGTATAAAAGCACAAGCCGCGAGCACATACCCGTACCCTGCTGCACGATCTGCGCGCCGGCCTCGTTGAGCGTGTCGACACTGGCCTGGTGCGCCGCGATGTCGTTCACCAACACCTTGAGCTTGGCAAGTTCCACTTCCAAGATTTGGGGATCGCCGGCCACCTATAATAATAAGATGCATACATTTTAATCAAGTTAAACTTAGAGACGGCAAAAATATAAGCAGAGAGACTCAGAGTGAGAGTATGCGTACATTTAATTAATGCGTACATTGTAATTATCAAGTTTAGGCTAGATACCTCTGTTGTGAAGATATACTCAGTTATCTTGATACTTGATCTCTTTCCATATTGCATAAAAGATACTTACAGGGCGCAGGGTGTCAAGGGTATCGCAGGTGTTCTGTATCCAGGTGAGGAGTTCCTGCAACGCGTGCTGCAGTTGCCCAAGTCTCAGCAGAGCTCTCTCCAGCTGCTGCTGGCGTTCCACCATACCCCTAAGGAGGGTCGACCAGCGCGTGTTCACTTCAGTCAGCGGTTGCTTGATGGCGGCCGCTTGCTCGGACGATGTACGCTCCGTCAGTTCTTGGGCTTGTCTGCAACGTGACTTGCTTGTTACAATTTTCGTTTTTGTTTTCGATTTGTGAAGACGATGTCGTATTCTCATAGTTTGTATTAGGAATTCATCATCTTGCAACCATTCATCGTAAAGTTACCGATGTAAAATGTATTTATATATATTTTTAAGTCGAATGGAGAAAGATCATGAGAATATAACTTTCGCCTTTACAGCGTTTACAGCTATATTAATAAAGCAGTGTTTATAAAACTCAGTACATAACAAGAACATTACAGAGGCAGATTATAAATACAAAATTTATGGAATAAAAAAATATTGGAATTACAATATTCATATACGTATAAAGACAACTGTCTATCAGTGCTTTTGCCTAATATACGAAGTAAGCTACAAACATGCGTTATTATTATTATTAATTTAAATATTGCTCCAGATATTATTAAATTAACATATGACATTAATTTTAGACATATATTATATTTCTAAAAAAAAATCAATGATATTGTGTCCAAAATCCAAATTTATTTAGTAAATTCTAATGTTTTCTTTTATACATCTGGAGCAAAATGTACTTTATGACTATGTTAAATAGGTTCAAATCTAACTACAATATTCTACACAACATAAGCGGCACACTGAAATAAGGTAATATTCTTGCCTCATCAAACTCCTGCACGATTCCAATCCACGGGGTAACGCATAAAAAAAGACACGATTAGTTAGGTGTTACGTGGGTACTCGACTGGTGACTGACAGTCAGGATACAGGCAACTGACATTGATTATATAGTCAGCTTAGTTAGCTTAGATAAATTGTTAATTTATAAATAAATCCTTTTCAAAATTGTGCTAGTTCTATTTTCAAATTTCTGACTGTCAGTTTTTAATCAGCAGTCATTGCTGACTATCAGTCTAAAGGAAAACATTCCCGGTTTTTGTACTTGTTAGGTTGTGCTACGACAGTTGATACAGGAGATTCAATTGCATTGAAAAATAAAATTATGACATTAAAACAAGAATTTTGCAATGTAAATTATAAGGTACATTTTTGTTTGTAAATTTTCTAAATTTAGTGCAAGCTGACTATAAACTTAGTTTATAGTCAGCTTGGTATCGCTGACTGTCAGTCTATAGAATCACATAATATTTGTTCTTGTTAGCTTGTGCAATGTCAGTGACGGGGGAGATCTACAATGTATTTTAGAAAATACGATTAGGTTACAGGGTAATTAAATTGGTAATTACTATTGTATTGTTATTAACCATCACCATAGAAACTTATTCTAATTATTTATTTATTATTATTATACACCCCTCCCCCCTTTATGGGGAGGTCCTATGTTCAACAGTGGACAGTTAATGATTGATATGCTATTGTAAAATTATTATTCCGCGTTACAAATACGTTTCAATCTATTTAGATGAAAATCATGTGGATTCTATTCTCAGTCGATCCAATTTAGGAAATAATTATTTCTAAATGGTTTCTGTTTAAATTGTCTTGGTTGTATTCAGTATGTTACTTGGTTTCTTTTACCTAATAATAACTTTTCGGAATCTGGTAATGAAATCGTGAAAGAGGAAAAAATTTAAAATGTTTTTATAGACATACATTTGAAAGTTTTTTTTATTTTTTTATTTATTAGGCAGCTCTATGCCTATCTCCTAATTGATCTGACATGTAGATAGACTCATATAATACAATATATACCTGTTAAGCGCTTCCACCTTGACCATGTGTGGATCGACCTCCTGTTTGAAGTTGGCTAGCTGAGCGATCTGTCGCTTGACGGCGTCGATGTCGGAGCCCAGAGGACCCATGCGTGAGAACTTATCCTCAGCGGTGTCCAGGAACTCTTGGAGATTCTAGGAGAATAAGGGGTTTGTTAGCAAAACTGACCGTTATATACCATTATCACCATAAGCACCCATTAAAGTTCTTCTAAAAAGGCATAAGATTTTTTTCTGTTAAAAATAATAAAAAAAAAAAACACTTTATTGTCATTATTAAAAAGTAATTATTAATTAAGTATTAATTACTTGTAAAGTGTCATGGAACTCCATAGCTTTCTCCATAGCGTCAATCAGGTTCTCTTCCCGTCTCGCGTACAACGCCGTGATGTTGTCCCAGGCGTTGTCCAGGTCTTCCATGTGCTTCTTGACTTCTGGTTTGTCGGGTTCACCGCATAGCGACATCAGGGTTGAACCAGTCTTGCGGACTTTCTCCACCTAAGGAATTAGTAAGGCATGAATAGGTTAGCTTGACGATATCCCCGTACTAAAAATATCATGCTATTCAGATAGCTACGTTTATCTGCACTTAATAAAATATAGGGCGGACTTAATGCCTGATGGCATTCTCTATCAGTCAATTATTACAAAAGCTTTACACAAAAATGATACTAAAGGATTTAAAGTGATCTCTTTTGATTTCTTCTCGTTTCTCTATACGTACAGAGACTAATATCCGATATTTAAAAAAATATTTTTAAAGCATAATCTTGTATTTGGAAATCATTTGTTAGCGTATGGTATTTTTTAACCTATTAATAATAAAGGAATGATAATTCTGAGATGTTATATGGAGCTTTGTAAAAAACAAATATAACATACCTCAGGTTTAGTATGGTCGATCTCGTGCCTGATCTCCTGTAAGGCTACTTGTTGAGCTTGGATGGCTCTGGGTTGTGCTGCAGGCGGTGGCTGAGCGGTGAGGGTGTCTTCTAACTCGGCCAGGGTGGCCATCACGGCGTTGAGTTGCTGCCAGAACTTGCGGGCGACCTCCAGCGCGCTGTCCAGCGACTGTCCACGGTCGTTCGTGGCCTTTTGTACGTCATCCCATAGTCTGGTGGAATAATGTAAGAAATAATAGTAAAAAAAAATAATAATAAACGCCAAAAATGGGGCAGTGAATTGTCTATTATAACAATTTAGTCTATTGATTAAATAAGTTACAACTGAAATTTATAGTAGCGTTATTTGAAATGGATAAACTTAAAAAAAAATGTTCAACCCATTTTAAAAATTCCGTCGAGATTTTTCCAAGAGACTACAAATATTGCAGGCGTTCATAGGCTACGGTAACCACTTACCATCAGGTGGGCCATATACTCGTTTGCCAACCCAGTGTTATAAAAACAAAATAAAGATCAGTATTGTGGCATATTTGACCGGTGTTCTCGCTGGCTACTAAGACATTCTATAATCAAAACTGATGGCTCGGGACAAAAAAAAAAGGACTTGGACAAAAAACCGAAAAGAAGACGGACATAATTTTGCACACAAATATCCCTTTTAATTATTAATATATTTTGACGACAAATTTGGACCTAACAAGCGGTCCATTGGTCTTTCATGTAGTCCTTCGACCTTTCAATCAGTGACCATATCCACGTCGACGAAATCACGGGTAAAAGCTAGTCGGTACATACTTGTGCAACTTGTCGAGCTTGTTGCGTATGTCCCGCACGGCGGGGTCGCTCTTGTTGGCCTTGCTGATGACGTCGGAGGCGGCGCGCTGTACAGCGTCGTACGCCTCCTGCCGCTTTTCCAAGTCTTCCGCCAGCGCGTTGTTCTCCTCGATCTGGTCCCTGATGCACGTATGGAAATAAACAATTTAATGCATTGTATTACTTTTACAAATATTATAGTTAACGACTGGCCGGTAAAAACATTTTTTTATGTCTCTTTTGTATTTATATTCTCTTTGTATTTTGTATCAATTTATTGACTGTAATTTTAGTTCAGTTTGATTGTTCGCATTCTATATTTTAACACAGTAAACAGTGCGGCATGAAAAAAAATATATTAATTTGATAACGTGTACAATACACAGTATGGAGGGGGGGGGGGGGGAATCCCAATGTTCGCAATATATACCCTGTCAGGTCGACCTCTACATGGCACCCTTGAAAATCATCGTATTGAATTTCACGATGGGCTAACTGACGTGTCTTTTCATCCTTACCTATCATACCTCACTAGTACCAGCGTATACTTTTAGCACAGGCGAGATTACCATTCCATTATCATTCATTAAAAAAATACACAGTATATACTGTGTTCTGTAGAATACATAGAAAGTATATACTGTGTACTTCGTAGTACATAGTATGTGTTGTGTACTACGTTATATTTTATTGGTGGGTATAATTAATTGGCGTAGGATTAATATGTATAGTAATATGTAATATTAAAGCATTAATGTATCCAGAAGTAAATAAATATACGCACTGTATCTTAGGCGGGTGTGCAGAGACGGGCTCCGCTCGCTGCAGCAGGTCGGCAGTGCCGGCGAGCGCGCGCAGCATGCCCTCCAGCTTGTCAGAGAACTGCGACGACTCTTGTAACGCCTGTGAACGACACACGAACGTTAGCATATACGATAAAATTGTTACAAATTTTATATGTGAAAGTATGTATAAGAAATTGATGGGTTAAATTTGTGAACATCAAGAGTCGAATTAGAGAGTGTAACCATAAATTGAAAGATAACATTACAAAACAATTCGATTATATTTTTTCTGTTTGTTACCTCATAACCCCATTAGTTTAAAGTAAAACGATTTGGATTTTTTTTTATCTGAAAAGCCCAATTTCTAAATATATAGCTTGATATCATAGAAATTTTTACAAAATCGGTTCAGCAGTTTACTTTTTAAATAAAAATCATTACAATTTTAGACGGTTTTTGAGGCCAAGATGACCTTCTTCCTTCGTATCTCTATCTCACTCACTCACCTGTTCCAACTCCTGCTGTCTCTGTCGGAGCTCGGCCCGTAATGCGTTGTATCGCTCGCAGTCATTCTCCACAATATCTTGAACCTTCACTGCGTCTTCTTCACCGACGAGGCGCGCGAGTGCTTCGCCAGTCTTCACCAGTTTGTCGACTAGAGGCTTGTGCCCGGCGATCGATGATTGCAACATCTACACAACAATATATATTTATATAATTATAGAATAAACTTTTTTTTTATACAACTTAGAATGGCAAACAAGCTGACAGCCCACCTGATGGAAAGTGGTAACCGTCGCCTATAGTACCATGGACATAACAGAGTATACTGTTTCGCATATGATACCCCCCCATGCGTTGCCATTCCTGAGGACTCAGGTGTTATTCCTCTGTACCCAGTAAATTCACGCCATATCCCACCCTTCAAACCGAAATACAGCCATGCAAACACAACTGCTCCACGGTTGAAACATGAATGGGACAGACCCAAGCAATTGACTTTTGTACAAAGTCTCCCTCTGGTAAACGTTTCAAAGTGACGAAATTATATTCTTCTGAAGTACATTTATTAACTAATGACAATGGATAATCGAAGTGCTCAAAGTAGGTCATAGCGTAAGGGTAAGTGTACACTGACCTCATTTTTGTCTTGCTGCTGCACGATCTGCTCGGGCCTGAGCGCCGGCATAGCCAGCATCTCGATCTGTTTCTCCATATCGTCCAGCCATGACGACAAACTGCAATGTATTTTATTCGTTAGCACCTTGACATTAAGTCTATTCTTCAATACAAGGAAACAGAGGATTACAATCTTCGTAGTATGCAGAATGGGTCAACAAACTTGACTTTACATATCATGTACCCCATTAGCAGATATCGATAGTGCAGACAGGGTTACCATTTTATTATAATCATTTAATGTCATATTCGCATCCTTTCACCTTCCACTGATGCCCCGTCAGCATATAGCGATAGTGCAAGTCGGTGCACCATTCCATCTTCATATTAAAGAAGTCTATTTTAAAATAAGTAATCCACGAATCCGTCATCCACTATCTTATGACTGTCTTCAATTTAAAATGTCATTTATTTCATCGTTAGCTACTCTCTACAAGTTTTTCATTTGATACCTATATTAATGTAGCTGACAATATACATCATCCGCCATTTTGTGACGGCGGCCATTTTGAAGATTTTATCATATTGAGTATTGCATATTGTATTGGCATCAAAACCGAACATCTATGCAAAATTGATTTAAAAAATCTCGATCTTATGCAGCTTACGAGTACAACAAATATAACAAATATGGCAAGTGAAACATAAGATTTTGGAATTACCTCCCAAATGATACAAGAATGGCGCAATAATGAATAGTTATTCTATGTTTATATATACTTATGTATATATGTGTATCTATATGTACGAGGTTTGTCCGGAAAGTACGTATAAAAGTTTTTTAAAAATTTTATTTTACAATTATTCAGGTAAATCAATTTTATCCCCTTCAAAGTACTCCCCCTGTGACATAATGCACTTGTGCCAACGCCGTTTCCACTGTGAGAAGGCTCCTTGAAAGTCCTCTGGTTGTAGGTTTCTCAGCTGCCCCGTCGTAGCTTTTTTTATCTCATTTATGTCCCCCAAATGCCGCCCCCGAAGTACCAATTTGGTTTTTGGGAACAAGAAGAAGTCACACGGGGCCAAATCCGGCGAATAGGGGGGGTGTTCGGTCACCGTAATGGAATTTTTACTCAAAAACTCACGGAACGATCTTGGCGCAAATTTTTTTCATTTGAAGTTCGTTTCTTAGAATTTCGTGGACCACGGTTTTGCCCAAATTAAGCTCTTCAGCCACCTGTCTGACCGTTAAACGACGGTCCCCATTAACACAAGTTCGAATTCTTTCCACGTTTTCGTCGGAATGTGAAGTGGAAGGACGTCCTGAACGTGGGTCATCTTGAACGCTTTCTCGGCCCTCTCTGAATCTTTTTAGCCACTTGTGGACGGTTGGTTCCTTCACAGCATCATCCCCATAAACTGTTCTGAGATCGGCAAAAATTTCACGGCCATTCTTGCCGAGTTTCGAGAGAAACTTGATTACGACGCGCTGCTCTTCAACGGAAGCGGGCTCCATGCCGACGGGGTTTCGTTAAGAGGTAACTTCACAGATGGCGTGACAAGCCAGTTCGCACCGCACGGCGGTCAGACCAGAACTGAAGCATTGTTAGGGACATAAGGGGTCCTGCGCTTACCTGGCCTCCCCACTCCTCTTTCTCGCATTCCAGAACACTTTTATACGAACTTTCCGGACAGACCTCGTATATATTTATATGCATATGTATATATTTTTATTAATGAAAGTATTAATTTTGCACCTTAGTTGTTATACTTTTTATGTTAACCCTATAAATACTTTCTTTTCGGGTTCTTGAAGTTGACTGGATGTAATCCCTTTAACCACTTAATGCGAGGGTTTTTCTGTGAAATTAGATCAACTGGCGCACTAAATCTGAACGAGCATACAATAAATATATACTGAGCTCTATGGAATACAAACGGGCGAGAAGGTATCGTTCCAGATAAAAATATAAACATAATATTTACAAGTGGCGAGAGGTACTCGGGATAGTGTAAATCGGAACATATTTGATGCATAAGAGGGTCTCGTTCGAGATGCCTAAGTGGTTAAGGGGTATGTCCGCCTGTGTACATTTTGGTATAACCTAATATGTATCTACCCATTGGGGGGAAAGGGATTGTCAGTAATGGAGACTGAGAATTCCATTGCTAGCAATATACCCAACCAGGTCGACCTCCTCGCTGTTCTCCCTGGAAACTATCATGGTTAATTCCTGATGAATTCATCATGATGGGCTAACTGGCCTGTTTTCATTCTCCTCTATCACCCTTCACTGGTGCTCCGCCAGCGTATCCCGTTAGCGCAGGCGGGGTTACCATATCAATTTCACCCATCAAAAAAAAATATGTATAAGTGAATGCAAGGCCGGTACCCGTGGTGCGTGTCGGCGAAGTGCTCGGCGAGCGGCAGCGCGTGCTCGAGCGCGGCGAGGCGGTCGGCGGCGAGCTGCCCCACCTCCTCCATCACCTCGCGCAGCTCCTCGCTGCGCGCGCGGATCACGCCCGTCTCCTCCGACGACTGGCACTCGCGCAACACCTGACAAGGGTACCAGGGATCTTAGTCATGGACATTATCAATACACCTTACCAGGTCAACCTCCACGAGGTTCCTCCTGGAAACCGTTGTGATTAATTTGTTGTTGAATTCGTCACGATGGGCCAACTGACCTGCTTTATCATCCCTCACTGGTACTCCACAAATACACGGATAGCGCAGGCGGGGTAACCATTCCATTACCATCCATTAAAAAAACCTGTGTTAGTGATGAAGTTTAGAAGTGATCTATCTAGAAGTAGATCACTGACTACAAGTAACTTAAATTATATCTTTTTTGTTTGACTTAATTAATGTCTAAAACAGACACTGAATGACAATGTTATTATTGAGTAACCGCTACTACCTGTATTGAGCGCGTACTCAGCAAAGAGACTCAGTCGACTCCTTCACGTCACCGATTACTTCTAGCGAATACCGGCACCATCTTTTTAGCTCGAGTGAGTAAATAACTAACAAGAATTCTTTAAGCGGAAATGGAGATATCGTTATTGAGCAGCCACTAATGCTCAAGTTGAGTTTACACTCACTGAAGCTATTTTCATCGAATGTTATTTACAAACATACTCGTATCTTCTTAGTTTGACTGAGGAGATCCCAGACGCGTACTATGAACAGGAATGTCAACATTGAGCAACCGCTATTGCTCAAGTTGAGTATACACTCACCGGCTATACTTTCATTAGACACATACCTTCTTAGCTTGACTGAGTAGATCTCTGACGCGGACTCTCTGAGCGGCGACATCGTCATTAAGCGGCCGCATTTGTTTAAGTTGAGCGCGAACTCTCGCAGGAGTACTGCTCGGCGGCTCAGCGTCTCGGAGTTGAGCGTCTGCGGCTCTGAGCCACTCAATCGCTTCCTCCATATCGCCGACTACTTCTAGCGAACGCTGTAACGTAAATATTCATTAAGCAAAAGTGTTATTGATTTTAGTATCATCATTTCAGGTATTTATAGTGCAGTTCTAAACTTAGGTCTTTTCTATAGATAGCCACAAGAACAATTCGTATAAATGTATTCATATTTACTGCATATAGACTAGATTTGCTTTTATAATTTTCATACAAATTGGGAATTTAAATTCAAAATATCAAAGGAAAAAAAGACATTTTTATGAATATTGTAAATTTAATATGTGTTTTCTACACAACTCTATAATATTCTTTCAATCTTAACAACAATGATAACAAATCCTTACCTTCTTGCTCAGCAGGAGCCTCTCCGCCTTCCTCTGTATTTGTTCTGCGATAGCATCGAACCGACGGTTGTCACGGGTCACGATGCCTTCAATGTGTGTGGCGCCCTCTCCCGGCGATATCTAACAACGAAGACATAAGCAAGTTGAAGTACAATTAATGTTTGATTTAACAGGACTGGTTTACAAGCAAGTTTTAATTCATCATTTTTGTCAAGTTTTAAATGCAGTTTCGAAAAGTTATTACGAGCGAGAAGAAACTATCATAGCTTAAATAATTACTGTTTTGAAATCAGTCAGTTAATATAATACTATTAATTTTTGTATATTAAATATATTTAAAATTATTGCATGACCAAGGTTTGTTTTGTTTTATAATCAGTTAATTTGAATATTGTATATTAAAATATTAATGGAAAAATTTAAATTAATGTGGATGAGACTCTCGAATTAGATTAATTACCTGACAAAGCTGGGGCCCGATGAGGTTGATGTTGTCGAGTACAGGCCGGAACTCCTGGAGATCAGCCTCCAGTCTCAAGATGTCTTCTTCGCGTGGTTCCACTGACTGTAGGCACGATTCCGCGCCACTCATCCAGTCAGTCAGTCTACAGAACAAACGATATTCATTGTGTATAAAATATAGTAACTTCCCACTGTTGGGTATGAATCTCTCCTCGTTTAACGAGGATGTTAGATTATGATTATTGGAGGGGGGAGGGAGGCAGGGGGTGGATTAAACCTAAGAAAGAGGACGCGATAGAGAAAACGTTCTGGGCTTATAACCTGTTGAATGGTACGAACAGAACAGGATAGTTAATTTTAGAGCTTTTAAACATGCGTACTGTTAGTAGAGGAATTAAAAAAAAGATTTCAAATAAACTAACCATCTTTGTCTGTGATAATAGACAATTTATTTTTCTAGATTGATAAATAGTAGGTGATCTGTGATCTGTGATCATATGTAGATAGCGACTCGTCCTGACTTTACACAGGTATATAGATAGATCTCATTTTTTTTTAAATAAAATAGATTCCATGGTATTGAATAATAATATACTTTTCTACATGTGAAAGAATTTTTAAAATAGATTAAATATTTTGAAATTATGTCCTTACAAAAAAAAAAAAAAACAAAAATCTTTCCTCTTTCATATTGTGATTTCTTTAAATATTACAGATTCATAACTCACTTTCCATGACTGTTATACAGTTGCTGCACAAGTGGCAGAGTCTCGGTCGCCACTCGCAACAGTTCCGCCCCTCGGCTCGTCAGGTCGTTGTACCGGCGCTGCAGTGCGTCCAGCTTGTCCTTGAGTTGAAGGGCCTCGTCTCCTGAGATGTGCTTCATCAGCTCCAACCCTGACTCGACTGTGCTGTCCACGGCTTCTTGTTTGGCAGCTATCTCTTCAGTTTTCTCCTGTTGAAAAGAGAGGGGAGGTGGGGATAAGTTCTGAAGTCTCTTAAATTTTTTTTAAATCAAATTAACTTATTCTCGCTCCTTTGTATTATGAATACTTCCATTACTATTAGGCCATAACTACAGCAGTCGTAATTAAAATTAGACCCTATTATAGTTGAATTAAAGTTCACTTACTGCGAGCTCGTCCATCTGCCGGAGCAGTTTCTCCATATGTACGGGCAGGACCTTTCTCTTGGCAAGATACTGTTCCATGCCGTCCATCCACGCGGAGAGATCTTGGTACGTGAGGACGAGGTGCCTCAGACCCTTGCGGGAACTGTCCAGCAGGGTGCCGATGTTCAGGCTGTGGTCTACCAGAGTCTGGTATCTGTTTAGGGAAAACACAAATGGTATTAGAAGTATTTATATTACAAGGGACTGTAAACTTGGAACTTAAACGATTTTTGTACATGGGAGATATTTGAAAAAAGCTAATATGAGGGTCTTATTAAAACCAATAGATGATAAAACAATATTTTTTTGTAAATATATTTTCATCACGCAAAATCTACTGCATGAAATTGAATACTCTTTCCTCTGTTAAGTTTCTGAAGGGATAACTTAAAACCGATTTATGTTTTATTTTGATACGCTATTAAGAAGAATTTATTTCACTGAGTTTCTTCTGAAATCTACGCGTGTGAAGTAGCGAGTAAAAAGTGAGCTAGTATGTAATATAATTACTCGTTGTCCTTTGACATAGGGATTCTAGGTTGCCTTCATTATAAAGGAAGGCCTCATACAACGTTAAATGGAAAACAAGTCGACGATCCACATGGTAGAAAGGCAAGATCCACTTGGCTAATCGTCAACTATAGATATGAACAGCACTAAAGTTAGAACACATTCACCGTCACAAAAATGGGAGACATTTCTACGAACCTTATGTTCTGATATTCCACTATGCCCATAAGTTTCTGATTTGCCAAGGATACGGATCGATTATAGCTGCTTTATTCCTTACCTACAGTTGTCGTGAAGCCTTCCATACTTGAATTACTAAGGCTAACTTAACGACACCAAATTTATTAAATCCATTCATTTCATCGACTATTTATGGTGCCAAATTTAACACTATGGGACCTATGTTAATAATTTTTTTTATTCATTAGTACAAATATGTGTACATGGCGGACTTAATGCTAAAAGCATTCTCTCCCAGTCAACCATAGGGAAGTGTCAGAATACTCGAATGCGGTACTCCTAATTATTGATATACATACATACTAAAATGGCATATATAAACGAATAAATATATATGAATAACAAATATATTTACACATATATGATATATACTTTATTATACACGAAATTGAGAATAATATAAAGCACTTACTACTCGGATAAAGTAAACTTCACTTTTTACTGCAAATAAACTCGATTTCATTTCATCAATCTATCAGTAATCTTTCAATTAGTTTGTCATTCCAAGGTACGTATGAAATTCCATAAATCCTGATCCGAACATCAGAAAAATATTAATCTTCTTTTTGATCAATTGGGTAAATTCAAAAGAAAGTACCTATCAGTGGCGGCCTGCAGTCTGTCAGCCAGCGCGGTGGCCTCGTCGTCTCCAACCAGACCCATGAGGATAGATGCCGTCTCTGTCAGCTGTTTGAACGGTGGCTGTTTGGAGAGGATGTCGTCGTGTATTATCTGTAAAAAAAATAATCACGTTAAAAATTGAAAAATTGAACGGGCTTGTTCGAATATATATACATTTTTTTTATTTTAAAACAGACCACCATTTAGAAAAAGGATTAATTCTACTTGTCTTTTCCAAAAGTTTTTCTTAAAGTTACCGAAATTAATTCATTTTATTTCAAAAGAGATGGGACTTGTAAAGATGATTTTTTTTAAATTAAAGAGGTAAATTGATTTTCAGTATTAATTGATGAAAAAAAAAAGTGAAACAGTTTCACACATTAATCAGACATGGAATAGATGTATTTAGCTTTTACAAAGTAGTAAATGTAGGGAGCCCCTTGAAGGAGAATTCCTAGAATTTATCTAATCAGATTTTACTTGTTACCTACAAGTAAAATTTGATCAGGCAGCTTCTAGAAGTAAAATGCTATACACCTACCTTGTGCTCTCTGATCTTCTGCTGTATCTTCTCCTCATCGGTGGGCACTAATTCGAGCGCCTTCACCTTGCGTTCCGTGAGGCTCAACCATTCCACCAGAGGTTGGAGTTGTTCTTCGAATTGTTTCGCCACCTTTGCAAAAGAAATTCGATCTAGTATAAAAGATCATAGGATTCATTTTGCAACTGTAATTGTATGTCTATAATTTGAATTTTATGACATTACGTTACGGCAGTTAAGAGTTGATATTTATGTTTACGATAAACAAAAACTAAAAAGCGCAGAGAAAATAGAGCTGCGTCTAAACGCCTATTCTATGCCGGAACACACAACACACGGCGCCTATTGCTCTACCAATAGACAGACTGAAATGCGATTAATGTATTATATATAATGCTGTAACGTCCAGATCAGTACAAACACAGTCATGAATACCTATTATTGTATTCTACAGGAATCGAATCCGCTACAAGTGAAAGATGAGATATTATCAAACCTTACATCGTTAGGGTTAACCTTCGTGTACTAACCTTCATAGCCTGCTCCAAATCGAGCATCCTCTGTTGTGCTCCGTTGGTGAGAGCGTCGAACCTCTGCATCAGACCCTTGAGTTGCTTCTCAATAGCCTTGCGTTCCGCGGGCTCGCAGCCGGCCGCCACCTCGTTGCCCATCGCGAACAACGACGACATGGAGTTCTGGCGGTCCATCAGCATCTTCTTGAGGAACTGTTGAGGAAATACATTTTATTAAAGATAGGTGTCTTATGAAAATCATCATTATTGTTCAGAATTTAGCTACTGATAAAATAATGCTTAAATGCATAGGGTTTAATGTTGTCATGGTGAAGGGAGGGGATTTTTAATAATAGAGAAATTAGTCCCCATTGCTAGTAATATACCATGTCACGTCGATCTCCACATGGTCACTGTTGGATGCCATCGTGGCCAACACCTATTATATTCGTCTTGATAAGCCACATTGGTCTGAATTTATCCTCATTATTGCATCCTCTACTGCTGCCAGATACATAGTATATTATTAGTATAAGAGGGTGCTTTATTGCATACTCATTCGTTGAAAGTGTTGCCACTAATTAATTTTAAAATTTTTCGGTGTTTACACACATTTTAAATACACAATCGGGACTTAACACAATGAAAAGCTTTTACAGGTAAATAATATCTACATATCTGCTTCTTTATTGCCGACATTTCGACGTGGATTACATCACGTCGCGACCACGACGGTAGGTACTATTTGCCTGTAAAAGCCTTGTCATCATTGTGTATTTAAAACAAGTGTTGCCACTATTTACCTTCTGTTCCTGCAGCTGCGCCTTGACGACTTTGTAGTCAGCGGACGGTGGTTTCTGGTTGTTGACCATGTCCTCTGTGTCGGCCAGCCACTTCTCGAGCCCGGCGAGCGCCTCCGCGAACTTGCCCGACTGTAGCAGCCCCACGTCGAGGCGCCGCTCGCGTTCGTTCATCTAATATCAAAAAAAAATATTATGCATTGTTCATTTAAAAATGATTTTTTTATGCACCTTAGAATGGTAAACAATCTACCTCAAGGAAAGTGGTAACCATCACCAATAGATATGATCAGCATCACAGAGACTATGACGCACATAGTATCCTTTATGCGTTTTTAGTCTTGACGACTAAGGTGTCATGCCACTGTCCCCTTTAGTTTGCACTGTCAAATCTCACCCTTCGAATCATGTTTCGACTATACTATGCGAGCAAAGCCGTTTCCCAACAGAAATCAAAATGAGATAGAAGTACCCATCTTTTCCTTTAGAAAATAAGTACCAGATGCTTGTATTTTTTTGCAGAATAACCAAAAAAGCAAGAAATTATAGCAAGATTTTTTTTTTTAAAAAACATAAATTATAAATTAAAGATCGTGTCTCATAAAGAATCTACTTCAATTAATACAAAACCAATTATTTATCTATAAATTAAACTACTGAACCGATTTTGATAATATTTCTATGGAACCAAGTAAGTATATTTCTGTAAGTATATCCTTTGAGATATAACTAGAATTATCCAAATTGTGTTACTCAGTAGTGTTTAAATGAATGACTGTTGGAATAATTTTACTTTCTACTTGTTTAATGAATGATATGAAAGAAAAAAAGGTATGTTTTCTGTAGTGATTATATAGCTCTTGACTACGATCGATGTAACCTGGTCTAAACTCGAGATAACAACCGATAAATGATTATATTTTACTTAAACAATTGCGTTAATACAAACCATATAAATGGGTGCTTGTAAATTTCCAATCTAAATATTCCAAGTTATGGGCCCAGAAAAAAAAAATCGTACCTTCTCCTTGAGCGCGTTCCACTTGTCGTTCATCTTCTCGAGGTCCTTCTCGAGCTGCTGCGTGCTGACGCCCTGCAGCGCGGACCGCACCAGCCCCTGGCCGATCTTGTTGCAGTGCGCCACGTTCTGCCCGAGCGGCTCCAGCGTGCGTCGCTTCAGCTCCGCGAAGTCCTTCTGCTGCGATCTGATCTGTTCCACCTCGGACGATGCGGGCTTGAGGTTGCGCACTTGTTCCGTCGCCTTATAAAGGGAAGAATTCAGATGTAACTACATATTGTTAACACATTAATCCGCGAGATGTGTTAGTTACACATCATATGGTAAAGTAGAAAAATATTTGCATTTTGCCTTTCTATATTTACATTATTATGATTGAAAAATGTTTCAATCCACACATCTTTGTCGTAGTCGACTACTTCGAGTTTTTCAATCACTAAATGTAATGCCGCTCCTTACTACATTATATATAATAGAGAATCACAATAGAAACATTACCTCCTGAACATCATCCATAACGGAGTCGTAGGCCTTGTAGAACGCTTCCAGCTTGCTCAGAGTGTCATCCAGGTCTTGTTCCTTGGAGCGCGCGCGCTCATCCAGTCTAGCTAGCTGCTTGCGGAGACTTTCCACCTGGGTTATAAATAAATAAATCAATAAATTTCTTTGAACAATGATTTTATTTAGTAATACATTTATTCATTTTCCTACTTCTATAATCCACGCATATGAAGTAGTGGACGAAAAGATAGTAGAAAATATATGCATTCACCTGATCCCTGGTCTTGCCAGTGTCCATAGAGTATCCACTGTCAGCGAGACTCTCCGCCGCGTGTTCAGTATCGCCCACCAGGTCGTCGGCCTTCTCCAGCCGTTTGTAGAAGCGTCCAATGTCGTCCAACTGTTGTTTGACCGTCTTGATGTCACGGCCCGGCGGTTTCATCGCGTCTAATTCTTTCTCCAACTCGGATAGATCGTGTGCTAGGTTCTTTACTTTCTCCTGTAGGGATGAGAATGTAAATTTTTAGTTTAGCAAGAGTTTTAAAATGCATAACTTTGTATTAAAGAATCATATCAATCCATGTAGATTTGAATCCATATCTTTTAGGTAAATTTGAAACTTATTTTAAATTATATTATCAAACGTTACTATGCATGACGTGTCGCCATTTACCGATGTTATATACTAACTACCGATTTATTCCTTTATAAAATCTGATTAAATACATAAAAAATATGTTTAAATTCGCCCTGAATTCGAAATTCTAAATAAGGATTTATTCAGGGCCATCTTCGTCATCCTTCAATAGTAAAATACAAGTATTTTACTATTGAAGGATGACGAATATATTATTTTAAATCGGAAGGTACAAAGAACATAAACGTAGTCACCCCCGTAGGTTTCATAGTTTCAAACGAACCATGTCTTTACGATCAATTTTGAAGAATATCATTACTGATTACAACAAAAATATAATTAAATAAATATGTAATTAGAAATATTAAAAATCGTAAATTTTTTTTAATTGACAAATACTCGTAATTGCGACGTTGCCAAACCGACATGAACACTCTTACTTCATGGAGGCACAGCTGTTATGAATCATTATCATCATCTCAGCCATTATCTGTCCCCTGCTGAAACTTGAGCATCTGCTGAGGCCTTTCCATAGATTATTATAAGGGAATGGTCTTGAGCTAATTGATTGATTCCCTGCAATGCAGTTGAGGTCGCCACTCCATTTATTGGGGGGTCCTTCCCTTACATGGAGATCAACTGTGATGAGTAGTAAGTTAAAATCCTGTAATGACTAGAAGTATGTGATAACAGGGCACAGATATCGGGAGCCGTACCTGGAAGTGCGTCATGGCGGCGGCGGCGCCGGCCAGCTTGCCGCGCGCGTGGCCGGCGCGCGCCTGCAGGTCGTCGAGGCGGTCGCCCAGCGCCTGCGCCTGCTCCTGCAGCACGTGGCGGGCGCGGGCCGCCGCGTCCGGCCCGCAGCACTCCAGCGCCAGCGTCACGATGTCGTCGGCCGCCACGTTGATGCTCTGTTCACAATTTCATTCGGGATCATCGTAATTTTCTTTTAATATTTCCTATTAAATTCTTCCATTCACGATTAATAGTAATAGTTGAAAATTATGGGAAATTGGGCTTTGAATCAATAAAACAAGCTGTCCAATATTATTTTATATTGGTCTTGTCTACTGTGCTACTAGGAAGTCAATGCAAGTCCGCTTTCTAGCGCATAGAAGTATCGCTCGAGAAGAAGTGGGCCGGTGACGTAGAAAGTGAAAGTTAAATACATGAGTCATTCAATATCAATCTTTAGTCAAATGAGAGATTAATTTTTGCACGTTAATTTAAATAATATCAACAAAAATCATAAAAACTCAGAAAAATGGAAGAGAAAAATATGCTGACTATAAGTCTTCCCCTTGGGAGGTTTGGACAGTGGTTACCATACTTGTCAGGTGGATGAGCAATCGCAATTAGGCTTTGGAAATCTTTTAAGAGGGACACTGCTGCCTATCCCTCGCCCTCTCTTAGCCGCCTCAAGGATTCTATATTCTATATTCTATTCTATGCCAGGACCACACGGTGACAGGGTTTAATGTTAAAATACTCTCGCTAAACACACCTCTTGTGTCATCCACTTTCAAATCACGTTTAAGAATGCATATCAGGTCAGAAATCTAAGGTTTCCATTGTTATCCGTATCCTATATTTCTAACTTTAATTTATGCCTTGCTAAATTACCTGCAGTGGCGCTCTCAAAGCGTGTATCTGGTCAGTCAAGCGAGCCACAGCTTCCGCTGCAGCAGCTGGAGGCGCCGATAGGGCGTCTTGCAGCCGCTCCTCACAGCGCTGCAGCGGAGTCTCCACAGCGCGGACCCGTTCAGCGAAATCGCCAAGCTTGCGCGCTGTAGTCTCGTAGAATTCCACTTGTGAAAGCACCTCTGTTGTCAACGACAAAATTTATGTTTAATTTATTTAAACCTTATACAAATAATTTTTCTTTTATAAGATTAAGTTAAAATAAAATCCACCATATTGGTTTTACGAAAAATCAAATTTTTCTGTACTTAGTATTATATTAATTATAATATTACCCGTTTAAATTAAAAAGCTTCAATTTTTACTTGACTCAATAAAGTCATGTTGCTATTTTAAATTTAATAGGCTTTTACAATTTCTATGGCATTCTCTTTCTATGCTTTAAATGCTTATTGCGAGCAAGATCTTTGCAGACACACAACATCGCATTCTAAATTCAAATATTAATTTTTATAATTTAAAGTAACAATTTAGTACAACGTAAGGACACTCGACAAATGCTGAGTAAGTAACTTTTTAGTGGCTAGAATTTGTTTTTATTCTTAGCTTTTGTAATGTCTCTATATGTCATTAAATCAATTATTTTTCTTTCTTTCTTTCTCTCAATTTCATTGGAAAGAAAAATTTTTAAAGGTAGTTAAAAAAATAAATCTTATGTTTCAAATATAAATCTGTATATTCACCGTTGTTGAGCCGGTCCCATCGCTCCTTCATGGAGTCGAGCTGTTTTCTCACGATTTCTTGGTCGATGTCGCACGCCGATATGAACGTTTCGCCCAGCGTCTTGTTGTTCTCGTACTCGCCAGATCTAAGAAAAGAAATAAGAAATTGTGTGTCAAATTTATTGTATATATAAATATTCAGGCATCACTTTGATTATAATATAAAAATACTTATAAATATTTAATTGATTAAATTACAATTAACGTAATTTTATAATATTCAATATTATAATGATTAAAAAAAATAATTGTGGTTTATATTCACATACGAGTTAATTTACATCTATTTAATTCAAAATCTGTTCAGAGTACCAGAAACTCTCGTCAGATACCAAATTTCCGGATAGAGGAATAAGGATTGGTAATTCATTGCTAGTGTTAGAATCTAACATGAATTTATCTTATGCGTCTGGCAATTCCAAATATAAATATTAAGATTTTAATTTGTATTTGGCAACATTACTCGCTCAGCTTGTAACTGCACTATGACTGTTTGCTCTCAATTAATGATTGTTCACGATATCCTTGATTTCAACAACCATCAGCGACAAGTGGAGACGTAGCTATTTGTACAAGATCCATACAGCTAGCAATACACACCCGTCAGTCTGAACTCTATGCGATCCCCCTTGGAAGCATAATGTTATTCTTTGACCATCTGACAACTGACTTGAACATCCTCATATCATAAGCAATATAGTAAATTATATATAGTAAATTTTTGCAGAAAACAAAAGACGTAATTCCACTGACCTCTTCCAGATGTCGTTTCTGATCTGTTGCAACTCACGGAGCTGCTTCTCCACTTCCTTCTTGGTGAACGCGGCGGCTGGCAACTTGGCGAGTCGCTCCTCCGCCTCAGACAGCCAGGGCAGGAAGGACTCTTGGGCCTTGGTGTATTTGCGGCAGTGTTCCTTTGAGAGAAGTCAAATATTTTAATAAATTATTTGCTTGAATAGAAATGTATGGATCAATACAAAAAAACTAACTAATATTCCTGTATTGACAGAAATAACAATGATATAACATGAATTTACTATCACGCTAATTGTACCCCATATGTGCCACCATTACAAAGGACTAATGTGTTACGTCTCTGCTTTTAGTCATTACACTGCCATATTTACATGGCAACACGAAATAAATACAACACAAAATGTCTCTCTGGTACAGATGGAAAAAAATCCTATGTTTTAGAATCTTACTGTCTAGAATCTTCTAGGATCTAGTATATAGAGGGAGAGAGGGGGGCTTTAGTAGGGAAAATTAGTAGGAACAAGTGAAACTGGAAATTTTTTTAGGCTAGGGGGATTTGAATTTATAGAATAGTAGATTAAAGATGACACTTGCTCAATTTGTTATTGGTCATTTTCCACTGTGTTTGGTTTCTATCCAGGTTTATATGAACACTTTGGAGTGCTGTTTTTTCTCTAATTCACGACCATTATTTAGCAGTATATGAGTTCATATTTTTGACACAAAAAATTCATGTAAATTAATTTAACTAAATTAATGTAACTTAATATAGATTAGATATATGTGTGTGAACTTACCATAGCGGTTTGTAGCCTGGTCTGTCGGTCTACTATTTCTCGCTTCAGTTTGTCCCACTGCGTCTGGATTCTGTCCAGGTCTTTGCGGAGACCTTGATGTGCTGGTTTCTTCTCCATCTCGCGGCCTTTGTCCAGCAGCATGATGAGCTCGTGCTCGCGCTGCGTCAGTTCTCTATAGAGGGGCTCGTGGCGTTCGAGCTGATGCTGCAACTTCACGCTATCCGCGGAGACTTGGAGACGACCTGGTAGCGCGCCCAATTCAGACTGTAGCCAGCCTAATGTTCGGGATATGTTCTCTTCTAGATTACGGCCATCCCTGGTGGAGAAGACAATGATTTTTCATATAATATTGGTCGCATTTTTTTTTATAAAAAAAAATTCTTATCTGTACTGATTTTAATTTTTTTTAACACGAGTTATGATGACAGTGGATGCCTCAAGAGATTATATATATAGATAGAAACCTTTTTATAATTGGTTCGGTCTATCTATCCCAGATTACGAAGACCTGCAATACGAGAGGCATTATCCGCGTATTACAAAGCCTCGTAGAATGAAAATGTTGAGTAACAGAATAAATTAATTGGTAACAGAATTAATACGTAAGAGATAAACACATATGCAGGTAGAACTAAATCGGGAACAACCCCTATAGATTGTTAAAAAGAATTGTGACAAACATCCTCATAAAAATTAAATATATAAAGGACAAATTCATTATACTCACTTAAGAGCAGCTTCTATTTCCGCTTTCTTATGGTCGAGTTTCCTTTGCAGGTTGTCGTACTGCCTGGCAACGGCTGCCAATTTGCTTTGAATGTCCTGCCTGGAAGCAGGGTCTGAGAGGACATCGGCCAGGGCTGCTCCGGCCGCTTCTAAGTCAGCCAGCAGAGGGCGCTGACCTTCTAACTGGCGTTCGAGGTTCTGATCGAGAAGAGATTTTAGTTTTTAAAATATTCAAAATACATGTGTAAGTAAATAAGTTTAAATAATATACAAATTTAAAATATTTCGGTGTTTAGTTTTCGAAATAAATGAGTTCGATTAGGGTTGTCACAACGAAAATAAAAAAGATAACAGGGTTATTGCTTTGTAAGAAGTAATGTATGTATTTATAATATTATAGTATTCCATGATTCTATTGATGCACTTTTAACCCTTTTAGTGCCATTGATTTTTACTCATATCTACTTAAAAATGCCAAAGAAATCTTTATCGTGTTGATGTTATAATCCCTTGTCTCTAAAAAACCGTATATCCTCCAAAAATTATCCAATTTTAATATTTTTTTTTTATAGCAAGCTAAACAGCGACTGAATTTACGAGCGCTATGACGCTCGTGGCACCTTTAGTTGCAATGCGCACGAGTGCGATGGCGCTCGTCGGCACTCAAAGGGTTAATGTTTGTTTGTCTAACTACATATTAAAGCTCCTTAATTATAATACTATAGTCTTTAACAGAATTTAATGAAAAGTAAACTAATTTTATAAAATTATTACAGAAACATTTTTTAAATGAAATTGATCTAAACAATTAATCGACTTTCGATTTATACTACAATCAGACATCAGTGGACTGCCTTATGATCGGGTTAATATTTCATCTCTTCACATTTTTATTAATCGTTCTACTGAAGCAGATTATGGTACATGTTCAAAGTTCCAGTAAGTGCCAACAGCCAGTAGTAACACACTGATCAGTCACCTCAATCTTCCTGAGCTGTTCGTCGGGCTCAGTGTCGAGCGCGAGGTCGTCGAGCTTGTCGCTGATCGTGTGGAGAGCATCCCGCAGCCGGGCGAGCCCTGCGTCGAACTCGCGCGACGTATCAGCTGCCGCGCCTAGGGAATCCGCGCGTTGTTCCAACCTGGCGTGAAGGAATTATATTACACTAACGTTCTCCTATTGGGCATGAAGGTGAGGAGGATTAGTATTGGGATTTAGCGGTTCATGTTGACTTCTACTCGATCCCCCATATTTATTTATTCATTAGTACAAATATGTGTACATGGCGGACTTAATGCTAAAAGCATTCTCTCCCAGTCAACCATAGGGAAGTGTCAGAATACTCGAATGCGGTACTACACTAATTATTGATATACGTACATACTAAAATGACATATATAAACGAATAAATATATATGAATAACAAATATATGACATATACTATATTGTACACGAAATTGAAAATAATATAAAGCACACCATATCAACCATAACGGTTAATATCTGATGAATTCATCAGGAAGGGTCAATGATCTGGTTACATCCTCGCCTATCATCGCTCATTGTTACCCCACTAGTGTATAAAAATAGCGCAAGCGACATTGCTATTACATTCTCATCTCTAGAAAGAAAAATACATACATTCTTTTAGATTCTTAATTTAGTACAAAAAAAAAATATTGAAATAACGTTTAATGTCTGTATAAACAAGGAATGAGACTTGTGCAAAGTAAAATATTGCTTAAGAATTATAATTAATCCAAATATCATATTTTTGTAGGTTGCTTTTCTCTTTATGTGAAATGAAAGTAAAATGGGCTTACAGTAGATAGTAATAAAATACTAACTTGTTGAGTAGGTCGTTCCACCTGGCCTGCAGGTCTTGGACCTTCTGGCGCAAGCGAGCGGCATCAGGCGAGCGCGGCTCGAGGCGACCCAGTACAGCGGTAGCCACCTCCTCCAAGTGGGACAGCTGCGGCTGCTGACTGCGGAACTCCTCGCGGAGGACTTGCACCTGTAGATTTATATGGCATTTAGCACGAGCAGCAGTACCTAATTATTACTGGATGAAGCAAGAAATTTAAAGGCACACTTTTTTTTATTATATATGCTGTAATTCCAAACTTTGCACTAACACAATACTATATCCAATATTACCTGCTGCACTTGTGTTTGCACCATACGTGAGTCTGTCGAGATGGGTCCGAGCGCGGCCATCATGCGGTCCTTGGCCGCCAGCCATCCAGAAAGGTTGCTATGTGTATCGTGGAAGTCTTTCATCTCTTCCATTAGGCGGATTCTGAGAAAGTGGTGTGAGTTCAGTAAAATATCATGTTACATAGTCACGATGGTATTAAAATCCTAGCATGAAATTTATTTGTTTTTCATAATTCGTCGGGGGTAACGCAAAATGTACGCTATTTAATTTTTGGGTCAGTTTCAATTATCTCAGAATTGGTACATTTTTGGATTTCATACTAATTTTAACACAATCGTACATGACCCAAAACATTTAATTGTTAATTTTTCAACTAAGGGGTTTTTGAAATTTATTTATTAGATTAAAAAAAAATTAAATCAACCTCTTCGCAAATGTAATGATGGCCCACCTGATAGAAATTGATAACTCTTGCCTATAGACATGAACAAAATCATGAATATTATAACTATAGAACATTGTAATGGCCATAGTACTTTTCATGCGTTACTATTCGTTGTTTTACCCGTACCCTGTAATTTCACTGCCATACCCCATACAGTATACAGCCATGCAAACATGGCTGCTCGATAATGAGGATATAATTTGGTACTAACCTGTCCTTGAAGGCGTCATGGAGCGCCTTCCATCGTGTAGCGACTTCCTCCAGCCCGTCGTGTAGTCGGTCAGCTCCTTGCACGCTCTGCTTGCGACGCAGCAACTCGCGGACCTGGACAATTACAATAATTATCAACAACCTATTAAAGTTCCCTTGAAAAAGCACATACGAGTATATATATACTTTCAGACATGTTTTGGGAAGCTTAGCGCACTTCTGGGATGGGACAAGATAATTCTTGAGGTGAGCACAGCCGTGGGACCTCTTTAAATACGCCTATGTACTCGTCTCTTACGACATTTTCTAGAACGTTTCAATGGTCGCGTACTGCGCGGTTTCAGAGATGTTTCCTCCCACGAACACTCAGGTTGTGGAATGAGCTGTCGAGGTTTTCCCAAGAGACTACATCATGGGGTTCGTCAAAAGAGGGGTAAAGAGGTTTCTTCAGGGTCGGCTATGCACGCGTAATGCCTCTGGTATTGCAGGTGTTCATAGGCTACGGTAACCACTTACCATCAGGTGGGCCGTATGCTTGTTTACCACCTCAGTGGTATAAAAAAAATGTCGATTACAGCAACAAACCTCAATACACCAGCGCAGGAAATTTCTTGCATTGTACAAAAATGTGGTGCTATTTTCAGTCACATTATTCAGCCTTTAACTGTCCACCGCTGAACGTAAGCCTCCCTCTTGAGGAATTTGCCAGTAGTTGCCACCCTTGGCAGGCGGATTGGTAACGGCAGTTAGGTTTTGGAGATGGTTTAAGAGGGACGCTGCTGCCCATCCCTCGCCCTTCCTTAGTCGCCTCTTACAACTACCATACTTCACGACAATTTATATTATTACCTATTTTCAATGCTATTTATTTATCACTCTTCACACTGTCCTTTATGAATTAGATAGAGAAAAACCAGTCTTAATGTCTACATATTTTTTCACTTTAACAATACACCCATCTATACCCGCTAGTTCCGAAAGCTCTTGATATTTCCCACAGAGTATATATACCTATGTGATCATGGTATAACGATAGAGTTTCTCACCTGAGTCTTGGTCGAGTCCAGTATGCTTTGTTTCTCGTACATCTCTTCAAGAACCGCTCGCGCTGCTTTGATTGTCTTGTCCGCTTCCTCCTTCGTATTGGGAACTGAGTCTTTGGGTAATTGTCTTTGAACCTAGAAAATATTTTCATATAGTTATTTATACAGATTAACACGAGGATTCGAGGACTCTATTAGTTACTTATGTTTTTTACAGTTAGTATGACTCCTAAATAATTTAAATATTTTAAAAATCCCATATTAAACGATGAGCAAAATTGATACATTGGTAGTCCCATACAATATGGAAATTAACTCTTTAGTCTCGAAATAATCTTTATTTAAATAAACTTAATCACAAATATTTTAATTTTTTTTTTAATGTTTTCTGAATGTTGTTATTTGTCTAGGACCGATTACGGGGAATATTGCACAGCGCCATCTAGATCAACTAAATGTCAAAAATAATAATATTAAAGTTACCTTATCGAGGAAGGTGTTGAGAGCACGGAAGCTGTCCAAGTGCTTCTTGACTTCCTCCCTGATGGCGTCCAGTTCCGCTTGGCGGTCAGACAACTTGGTGCCGAGCAGGCTGTATCGGTTGTTGATTTCCGACAGCTGCTGTTGTACTGGTGACAATTCTGTTGAAGACACTTTGGATTACATTTTTGACACTCATCATTACCATTTCAGCCGTTAACTGTCCGCTGCTGAACATAATAGAGAAGGCTTATGTTCAGCAGTGGACAGTTAACATAAGCTTTCTTCATAAAGGGAGTTTTGCCAGTAGTTGCCACGCTTGGTAGGCGGGTTGGCAACCGCAGATAGGCTTTTAAAGATAATTTAAGAGGGACGTTGCTACCTATCCTTCTACCATTAAGTTTTCTCCTTTTTCGTCTGTACCCTGTAAGTTCACTGCCTTGTCCCACCCTTAAAACCAAAACACAGATGCACAAGCAAACGACTTTTGTACAAAGTCTTTCTCTGGTACGTGACCTTGAACCATTTTTGAACGATCGGACGTCTGACAACGATCTGACTCTATGTTTTAACTGTCCGCGAACGTCGTCAACAGTGTATACATTATGGGAATGGCTAATGGAAGATACAGTTAAACAACTGTATAGATTGTTCAGTCGTGACCTTCAGCAATATGTCACATAGCTGAGGATGGCTTTATATATACAAGTCTTTTTGCATAACTACTACGAGTTATTCGTGTTTCTCCTGGTAAGCAACTATGCTTGAATTTCAATTTGAAAGGATATGGCAGTAAAGTTAAGGGGCACAGAAATATAATATCACGGTACTCAGGAATGCCTATAGAAATGATGTGATGTCTATAGGCATATATATAGTTTTGTCATTGTAGATATTGTTGTTCGTGAAAGAGATGTAAACTCAGAATAGTTTTCAACCGACTTCAAAAAAAGGAGGTTCTTAATTCTTTTTTTATATTTGTTACCTTCTAATTCGGTTAGATCTAAACGGATTGGAAAAAATCTTTCTCTTTTATCTGAAAGGATATATTTATAGATTGGTCTCATAGAAATTTTATTAAAATCGGTACAGTAGTTTAGTTCTTAGATCAAAATAATTGAATTTGTTACAACTGAAGTCAGTTTTTTGTAGGATAATAATTTTTATTACGCCACGTAGATTATGACTAGTGAAAATAAAAAGCACTGGGTACATTACCTTCAAGATGGAACCCTTCCTGGCTGGAGCGGCGTGATGAGAATCCGCTGGAAGTGGAGTGTGTCGATCCGGGACTCACTAATCCGTGGCCCTTTGTCGGGGACGGCGATCGGCCGTCTAGAGTTCGGCCTGTAGGCGGTAAAATACAAATTAATATATGGACATCTGTGGTGTTACAGGCGTCCATAAGCTATAGTGACACTTTACCATCAGACAAGACATCTTCGTGGTATAAAAAAGCACGGCGTTCTTTTTACTCATTTATGAGAATATTTAAAAATTTATAGCATTTAAATATTTCAATATCTTGTCAGTTACTTAAATAATTTTGGAGTCTTTGTAAAAACTATAAATAATCAAATTTGGGTAGTAGTATTATGTTACATGGAGTTCAAAATTAAATTTGCGGTATCAATTGTAGGAGTTTTCTTTTTTTTCATGTGAGAGTGGTGGGGAGAGATCAGTAGTGTTAATGCCATATCGTGTGAGTAGAAGTGACTGCTGTATAAGCATAAGGAGGGACCGCCAGTTTAATTCTGTGATTGTCAGGGAATGGGCGTGCGTATGAGGGAGGACAGGTAGAATGAACATTAGGGACTGGTAGTGAGTTTGAGGGATTGATAATGTGAGTTTAAGGGATTGCTAGTGTGTGAGTTTGGGGGATTAGTATTGTGCGTATGAGGGACTGGCAGTATAAGTACGAGGTTGTGGAGGCTTGGTCGTGTATATGGATGCATTAGTAGAGCTGGTACTGACTGGGCGTGTGGCGCTTGGTGGGGCTGTAGAGCTGCCGCTTGCGTGCCGGGCTGTCGGCGCGCTCGGACCGCGACAGCGCTTCGTACGTGCCGCCCGCCTCGTTCACCTGTATCACACATACCATAATTTAATTTCTATGCGACTTACAATGGCAAACAAACTGACCACCTGATGGAAAGTGGTAAAGTGGTATAGATATGAGCAGTACTATGGACGTAACAGAGTATACTGTTTCGCCCAAGATACCCCCTATGCGTTACCATTTATGAGGACTCAGGTGTTATTCCTCTGTGCCCTGTAAATTCACTACCATATCCCATCCTTCAAACCGAAACACAGCCATGCAAACGCAACTGCTTCACGGTAGAAACACGAAACAAACGAACCAAGCAAACGATTTTTGTACAAAGTCTCCCTCTGCTACACTTATCACATTCAGAATAATTTATTTGAGATCACAAAAAATTGTTTCATTTACAGAGTGAAATTAAAATTATTGGCATCTTTTCTAGACAGTCTTCTGCCAGTGAAACTGAATACTTTTTTTTTTAAGAAACATAGATTGGAAAAAACATATAATTTCAAGCCTTTTAAAGATTTTGTCAAATTAGTATTTGACAGAATAAACTTTCTTAAAAAGATGTTTAAATAATATCAAATTTTTCTTGCACATTTGTATCGTAAAGTTTAAATTATATGTTTACAAACTTAATAAAGTTATTTCAGTTATAAGTTATTAGCACAATTAATAATCAATTTAATAACACTTAGAACACAGTACTCAAAATTATAAAAAAAATACATGTAAACTTAACAACAGAGATGCAGATATAAAATTTACCCGTGAACGAAATATATGAAATAACATAATTATACAATTAGATAGTATACCTTATCGATAGTGACAGAGAAGTCCCTGTACTCTTTGGTGAGTGGGCGCAATTCGTCCTGCTGTTGTTTTAGCACGTCCAGTTCCACAGCGACCGGCTGTAAGCGACCCACGCGGTTCTCCATAGATTGTAACCACTCCAGTACCTAATTTGAAACAATAAATCAGTATAGAAGATAAATAATACATTAATTTAAAAATGTAACCGTTTAAAATTCATTCAACAGGTTCAATGTTAAATTATTTGTCAAATTTTTCTTAAAATTTCCTAAGCAGACAGGGGTTGAAATCGCATTTTCTATGATAATGAAGTATCTCTTCACTAGATACTGAGTTGAGAGTTTTAAAAATTTATAATTAAACTTTACTATCCGGCGCAAAGGACCAATAATTTTTTTTTGTATAAGTATTTAAGTAGATTTTTATATTCTTTAAGGTGGTAAAGTTGCAATAAATGTATAGATAGGAGTAATAAAATATACTAGTTTATATCTACGTACTTGTGCTTTGAGGCTCTCGTATTGGCTGAGTTGGTCAGCACGTTGCTTAGATAACTTCAGCTTCTCTTCTAGAGACGTGTTAAAGTCACGCCATTGGTTCTCCAGGGCCTAAAATATCAGTATTAGTAATACTAAATAATTCTTAGAAATATAATTTTCTAGCATATATCATTAAAAAATTTAAAAGGTGAAAGTTTGAAAAATAGATCTAAAACACATACATATTAGAGTCGAATTTAAACAGTTGCTGACGCGTTACCTTCATACGATCACGGACGACGTGGGTGTCGGTGACATCCTTCTTGGAGATGAGTTGCTTTCCGTTCCGCAGGCATTCCTCGAGCAATGGCATTTGTTTGTCTCTGTGGATTAGATTGATTTTGTTTTATATTTCCATTAGGTTTACTTGTCGCTTGTTTGTCCTTTAAGTTACATAAAAAATGTTTTCTGTTTTAAATGGTATACTTTGTAAATTATGAATGAATTAAAAACCTGCCCCAACTTCGCAAGGGTGCAATGTACAACCACACGGTTAGAGTTTCTAATTCGGGACTATACGGCGGTACTACGCTACGCTTATTGGAAATCCTGCAACAAATACTGTAATATTTATGACCGTGTGCTCCCGGCATAGAATAGACCAAATCTTTCTTTCCTGGGGATGTTGTAAGAGGCGATTAAGGGAAGACGAGAGATCGGCAGCAGCGTCTCCCTTAATACATCTGCAAAGCCATAACTCCGGTTGCTAATCCGCCTACCAAGTGTGGCAACTACTGGCAAAGTCCCTAAAGGGGAGGGTTATGTTCAGCAATGGACAAATAAAGGCTGATCTGATGATGATGGTGAAATAGTGTATAAATAATAGTGATACCTGAGCATAGCTAGTTCCCTGTGTCTAGGCGCGAGTTCGGCGGCGGGCAGGCGTGCTAGTTCTCGTCCATCAGCTCGCTCGGCCAGCGCGGCGGCCGCCGCCTCCAGCTCGGCCGCCTGCGCCGAGAACTGCGCCAGCTCGGCCGACACCTCGTCCAGGAACTGAGCGCGCTTTATCGACCTCTCCAGGAGTTTCTCGTATCTGAAATGTTATTAGTTAATTCGCTTGCAACCCTTCATAAAGAATATTGTAAAAAAACAATGAGTATCTACAGTCGAAAATTTATAAATTACTTCCAGTTGATCTTTGAATATCTAAAAGGACAATGAGGGGAGAGGAAGGAGGGAGAACTGTTAGTAATGAAGACTAAAGGTCCCATAGCTAGCAATATACCTAACCAAGTCGACTTCCACGTAGTCCCCCCTGTAAACCATCGTACTTCATTCATCATCCAGGCTGTGATGAATAGCATTACGATAAGATAACTGACCTACCTTTTCGTCATCATCTATCTATCAGCTCTTACAGATGCCCCACCGGTGTATACCGTTAGCATATATACAATATATATATGCTAACGTACGCTAATATAGCGTGTATACAAAGTTACTCTACCATTTTCACGCATTAAAAAAAGAGGGTGAACTGACAGAGACAAAAATAGTTGATCTCATATCTACTTTTTTTTTTATTAAAAATTAACGGTAATCATTGATTATCATTCGACTCTCTTAAAAATATAGATAAAAACAATAATAACTAATATTAATAGTAATATTTACAAAAACGTCTAAAAAAATAAATATAGGCAAAGTATTGAAACAATAAAAAAAAAAAAAACAAAGAATCGACACTAATATTATTAAAAAAAAAATACTTGACAACATATCTAGCAAGGATTATATTCGTATGTATATTTTGGTTTTTATCACATAACATACCTAGCGTATATATCCTCGGCACGCTGCTCCAACTTCTTAGCGATCCTGGCGTTAGATGGCGTGAGTGCGGCTTCCCGTGCGCTGCTCACAAGTTTGGCGAGCGTTGGCCGCCGAGCTTCCACCTCGCTATGAGCGATACGATGCTCGCGAACTTGCTCGTCGAGCCGCTCGCGAATTAGTGATGCCGGTTTATGTTGATTCCTATGAAGATACGCAAAATATTATATAATATTCTAAATTTATTTTTTCATCGTAATCGTTTTCGGAATTCAAAATTAAATTTTTTTTTTTTATTTATGCAGAAGATACAATTATAACGTGATCTCTTTTTTTTTATTTTTTAATCCATATCAAGAAACCTACGTATTGTTGTTACTCATGAACTTTTGAGAAGAATATAAATTACTAACTTGAATATGCTCTCAGCTTGTCCCAGCCAATGGGCCTGAGTCTCAGCAGCATCCTGAAGTCCTTGGCACTGCAGTAGAGCGGCTTCCAGCTCGGTGCATCGGGAGCCGACTGCGCCGGTGAGTTCTTTGTACCGGGCGGTGAGGTCCAGGACGGGCACTTCGAGTTGCCTGATCTCTGATGGTGTTAGGTTGCCTTCCAAGGATTTGACTAGTTGGTCGCAAGCCTGTTGAACGGTAGAAATAAAATATGTAAAGACAAATGTTTATTCTCATACATACATACATATCTGTCACGCCCGTCTCCTATTAGGGTAGGCAGAAACATTGGAACGCCAAATGTTTATTCTCGTGTACAAGTAATCAACTGACTAAAAAAAAATAGGTCCTCAATTGATTTGTATTTTTTTTTCATATTTTTACCTCATAATAGATAGCACTATAAACAAATTGGTGCGTTTTTAACACAAGTAAATATAAGTTATAATTAAATTTGTCTTTAATGCATATTTTTGTCTTGTGGTTTTATTGATCTTTCGGAGTTGATAAGGTGATAGTGTTTTTTTTTATGCAAACCTAGAACGGCAAACAAGCTGACGGCCCACCTGATGGAAAGTGGTGACCGTCGCCTATAGACATGAGCAGTACCATGGACATAACAGAGTATACTATTTCGCCCATGATACCCCCCATACGTTGCCATTCATGAGGACTCAGGTGTTATTCCTCTGTACCCTGTAAATTCACTGCCATATCCCACCCTTCAAACGGAAACACAGCCATACAAACACAACTGCTTCACGGCTGAAACACGAATGGGACAGAAGTGCTCAAGCAAACGACTATTGTAAAAAGTCTCCCAGTGGTGTCATTCTCTTTAGATTATCTAAACACAGTGAGATATGCACAGTTAATACTTCCTTCAGGTGGGTTGATGGTTTGTTTGCCATCCTATATTGCCATAAAAGAGGTGTTGAAAATTCATCAGTTTAGTATAACACTTACATCCTTGGCGTTGTCTATGAGCCGTCCTTGCGAGAGTATTTCGTTGTGTAGGGACTTGGCCTTGGAAAGCTGGGCCTCTACCGCGCGCGGTTCTCCGCCCACGGGTTCGGACAATACCGAGCGAACTTGTGGTTCCACCTAAGTAATTAAATAAATAGATTAAGACACAATTATTCATAATTATTTTTTCAAAACACTACTCCGATACAGATAAGAATAAACTAATATATATCTTATATATAAAATTCTCGTGTCAAGTGTTTGTTACCAAACTCCTCCGAAACGGCTTTACCGATTTTTATAAAATTTTCTGTGCATATTGGGTAGGTCTGAGAATCGGACAACATCTATTTTTCATACCCCTCAATAATAAGAGTGACCCTCCCCAATATTTTTTTTAATGGATTAAAAAAATATTCTCCAAATAATGTATATGGCAAAACAACGTTTGCTGGGTCAGCTAGTATATATATATTTTCGATGAATTGTATCGTCTAAATATTTGTCGTAATGAGTGAGGGGGAGTGGTCGGTGAGTGCGCTCAGGCCCTCTAGATAAGCAAATTCATAGATGGAATCGACATCGCTACCGAGTTCGTGAGATAGAATGAGATAGCAACGCCGGATGTCTCATTCCAACTCATAGACTTGCTAGCTATGTCGATCCCATCGACGGATTCGCTTGCCACTTGTCTAGAGGCCCAGGTATAAACTTGACCGTGCGTGAACGGTGTATTGGTGTATGTGGCGTGTTTTTTTAATGGATGATAATGGAATGGTAACCCCGCCTGCGTTATCGGTATACGTTGGCGAGGTACCGGTGAGGGATGATTAGGTGACGATGAAAGCAGGTCAGTTAGGCCATCGTGACGAATTCAACGACAAATTAGCCAGGATAGTTTCCAGGGGAAACTGCGTGGAGGTCGACCTGATAGGGTAATATACCCTATCAGGTCTAGGTATAGCAATGGGGATTAATCTCGCTATTACTAGCAATCCCTTCCACATCGCGGACGTAGTGTTGGTTTGTCGTAACGAGTGAGGGGGACTGGTTGAAGAGATGCGCTCAGGCATAAACTTGATCGTACGTGAATGGTGTGTGCGATGTGTCGGTGTGTCAGTGTGTGCGATGTATTGATGTGTGCGATGTATTGATGTGTGCGATGTGTTGGTGTGTGCGATGTGTTGGTGTGTGCGATGTGTTGGTGTGTGCTATGTGTTGGTGTGTGCGATGTGTTGGTGTGTGCGATGTGTTGGTGTGTGCTATGTGTTGGTGTGTGCGATGTGTTGGTGTGTGCGATGTGTTGGTGTGTGCGATGTGTTGATTAGTGCGGTGTGTTGGTGTGCGCAGTGTGTTGGTGTGCGCAGTGTGTTGGTGTGCGCAGTGTGTCGGTGTGCGCAGTGTGTCGGTGTGCGCAGTGTGTCGGTGTGCGGTGTATGCGGTGCGGTGGCGACTCACGTCTGCGAGCCAGCGGTGCGCGCGGTCGAGCGCGTCGCCGTAGTGTCGCGTGAGCAGCGCGGCGGCGCGCAGGCGGTCCTGCAGGCGCGAGGCGCGCGCCGCCAGCTCGGCGTGCCGCCGCCGCGCCAGCGCCGCCCCCTCGCGGACGGCGCTCTCACTCGCCGCGCCCACGTGCGACAGTCGCGACGGCAGCGACGTGCGGTACTCGTTCAGCAGCGACAGGAACTCCTATCAACACACGTGTAAACTCTCCTTTATAAGCTTTTATTATACATGCAATACTTATTACTTTGATCAACTTTCAAAATTCGTCTTAAAAAAAAAAAACAAACAAACTGAATCGATTCCAATTGATTTCGCTGAAATTTTGCATACACCTTTAGTTCTGATGACCATACCGTAGAAAATTTACTCCATATTGTAATATTTTCAAAATGGCCGTCGTTACAAAATGGCGGATGGTATATATTTTGTCAACTCTATTAATAGTAATAATACTGAATCGAAAAGCTCGTAAATTCTACTCTCTAAATTAGGAAATAAATAATAATTACAGCACCATAGGTATTACTGTGATATTCATATTCATGTGATACGATCGTCTATAGATATGAATAGTAATTCATATCTATAGACGATCGTTGACACTTTACATCAGATATGTCATCATCTTATTTGTTATTCTAAGATCCATACAAAAAATTAAAAGTAAAACTAACCTTGCTCTCGTCGACAAACTTCTGAGCGGACATGGTGATGAACCGGAGATCAGCCTGGTGGGCGATCACGTCGGACACGAAGTCTTTCACATCGTCACCCTGGTTAGGCAGCTTGTCCAGTTTAGATATGGCTGCCTCCTTCTCCTCCAGGATACGGTACGCCCCCTCCATCCACGTGTTGAAGGCAGTTAGTTCGTTGCTGGAAAAAGAATTGCTTGTTGAAGATAGACTTTATAAACGTGAAGGAGGAAGGTTGGAAAGGGGAGGGGAGGTATTTTTTTAAGAGATCAATATGTAATGGTTATACACTGGGTTGCCAGTATGATAAAAGGATGATGGGTGAAGATGAAGTCAGGTCAGATGGTTCAACGTGACCCATTTACCAGGAATTAATCGTTGATGTCCACTATATATACCTGTTATGTACACGTGACAAGATATATTGCTAGCAGGAGGGTCGTTCGACTGGATTATTAACAATCCGGGTTTGGGATATCAAATCAGATACATATATGTCTTGGATAGCAAACTCTCGTTGGTGATCGTCATTATTTCATTATAAATATATTTATAAGTTTGTCAAGGAATATTAACCTGGCATTTTAATGAAATCGCTTATATTTCTAAAAGATAGTTATTTTAGGTAAAATTTCTTTCCTGTCGTGACCAAGCCGTAGTGCAATCCACATCAAAACGTCGCCAAAAAAGAAGCAGGTATGTTAAAAAATTTTATCACGCAAAGACTCGATGGTATATTTAAATACGTTTCTAAAGGAATTGTCAAAATTAGTCAGTTAATTGCGTAATAATATCTAGAATTAAGAGAACGACCTTTTTCTTTAAGAGGTCTCTTAAAAAACGATATACTTACTTGAATTTGCCAAGTTCGTCTCTGGCGGCGGCCAAGCGCCTTAGCATCTTATCGCATTTCTCAGTGCACTTGTCGAAGCGTTGCTTCAACTGGCGCACACCGCGCTCCAGTGCTGCCACCTGTATTAAAAATACCATTATTATGTCACATTATAATAGAGCAGTTTATATTCGTATCAAAGGTTCATAATCAACTTTGTTATAGCCTTACTGTAGCCAGGATTTAATCACTCAAAAGCAGATATTCAGATAATATCGGTTTATAAATGATAGAGTCATGAGGTAACAAACAAACAAAAAAATACAATCGAATTGAGAATCTTCTCGTTTTTCGAAGTCTGTTGTATTGTACCAGAGGGAGACTTTGTACAAAAGTAGATTGCTTGGGTACCTCTATCCCATTCGTGTTTCAACCGTGAAACAGTTGTGTTTGCATGGCTGTGTTTCGGTTTGAAGGGTGGGATATTGCGTGAATTTACTGGGTACAGAGGAATAACACCTGAGTCCTCAGGAATGGCAACGCATGGGGGGGTATCATGGGCGAAACAGTATACTCTGTTATGTCCATGCTACTGCTCATGTTTATAGGCGACGGTTACCACTTTCCATCAGGTGGGCCGTCAGCTTGTTTGCCATTCTAAGTTGTATAAAAAAATGTAAAAATGAGTTTGTCTGTTATCTCAAGGTGTTTTAACGGCTCAACCAGTCATAATGATGATTTGTATACGCACATAGCTGGATCTATATTATTAGTATATTTAGGACGGAGTAATTCAAAATATTCCGGTCATGCAGACGACATCGCAGGATAAGACTAGTAAGTAATAAATATTGAAATATGAATCAGGTACCTCGTGCGGGGCGAGTACATCGCCTCCGGAGACCAACAGCTGCTTCGCCTGGTCAGCACACGCGGACACCTGACGCTGGTGACTCTCCAGATCATCCTTGATCAGCTGCAAGGAAAACACAAGTCTCGTAATTCCGGAGAGTACATTTAAATTGTTTAATTAATTCGATTAAAACAACCGGTAATTAATATATCCAGTTAACATAATCCTGATTAATATCATCACTATAAAAGTGTATTTGTTTTTTTTTTTTTTATATCACGAAGGTAGCAAACAAGCATAAAGCCTGTTTGATGGTAATCGATCATTGTAGCCTATGGACGCCTGTAACACTAGGGGTGTCCCATGTGCGTTGTCGATTCTAAAGAAATCTTAATACAACCTTTTTGAAGAACCCCATATTAAATATTTTTATTTTATTTAGCATTTATATTGAAACCTAAAGAAAATGCTTGTTATTTGTCTGTTTGAGGTTTAATAGCTCAAACAAATAATATTAAATGTTGGCACAAGTGTAGCGGGTATTTGTTGTGAAAGAGAAAATATTTATCTCTAAAAAGAGTATCTTTACACGATTGTGACTCATTTCTTGTAATCCTGCCAAAGAAACTAGTCATTGAGAGATAACTTTCTCTCATAAGCGTTCTAAAGTTAAATAAATAGTTATCGTAGAACGTGATCCGAGTGGTTTTGATTATTTAATATTTTAAGATTTTAATTTACAAAAAAACATAGACTTCAATGGTGACTAAATGAGTTATTTTGATTTTAAAGCTAAAAAACAGAACCGATTTTGACAAAATTTATATGGAACCAATCTGAAGATATATCCTTTCAAGTAAAATAATCCCAAATAAATGTTGAAATGAAATTATGAGGTAACAAATATAAAAATATACAACCTAATTGAGAAACTTGTCTTTTTTTCGAAAATTTTTGATAATATGAAATTACATGTTTAGACGTGTATAAATTGCTACATATAACAATAATTGAATCAGTTTTATTTACCTTGAGAATGTTAATTTGGTTGCGTAACTCGTCTAAGTCTTCCTTAACCGCTTCCTGATTGGCCAATCTCTCTTCAACCACGGCGATCCATTCCAGTAACTTAGAAAGCGTCTCATCGCAAAGCCTGTACTTCTCTTCAACTGCTTGCTAAATATTAAAAAAATATATTTAATGTATGGTTCACTAAAAAATTAAAATAAAATATTTACAAATCTCTTTCGAGCTTTGATAGTGCATTCATATCTATAACTACCGAGCATTTACAATGCGTCTATCTACATTTGTTTTTTTGTGCAAATTCGTCACTTGACAGAGGACGACTATATCTACGGACATAAACAGTAACAAGTAGTGCATTTCCACAGTGGTATTTTAAGATGCAATGTAGATATGTACAAATTTTCTAAATTAAAAAACATCACAGAAGTATGTACACACAATAATAACAAGAATATGAATAACTTAGATCATGCACAGAACTATATGTACTAAGTTATCCAATGAGAACCGTTCATTCAAGTAATCATGTATGACCATCGATTCATGACACGTTATCGTGATACAGTATTTAATAAAATGAATATGTATTGTAAAATACAATTGCTTATATTAAATCCTGGCACGATAAGAGAACATCATGAAATGACGCTTAATAACGTAATTACTAGAAGAAACGCAAGAATACCTGTAAAAGTAAAATGAACATATAAAAAAAAAAAATAGACTACGCAAACAATAAGCAGAGACAATCCTCAGACAAAGACATAGGCCAACAACGATAGACAGCCAATTTGTATCAGCATGAAGGTGACGAACACAACAAGTTCAAATGTTGCGTAGAGATAGAGACAGATACAGACAACTAAAATCATGCAGGAAGCGTGGCATGCAAGCAGTGAATGTTATAGATATCATAGACAACATAAAAATTTAAACTTTATTGCTTAACTTTTGAATAATTTTTAATATTGTCTATGATACTCCAAAAGTAACGAACTATAATTATCATGGTACCAACATCTTCAATTTCGTATTAATTAATAAATATTTGGATTAGAGTTATTTGTTAAAAAGTATATAAATGTTAAAAGAATACCTCCTTGGAAATCTGAAACTTTGAAATAACAATTTTCTTTGTACAGTAAATGAGGTAAAGTAAAGATAGTAGAATATTTCTTAAAGAATTTACACGTAAAAAAATATTTGTCGTATTGTATACATTTATTGTAATAATAAAATTTGGAGCTTTATTTCATAAGAAAATTACAAAAATTACAAAAAATAAAAACAAATAGTATAATTTATGTATTCTGGCATTAATAAAGTATTAAGTAAGTATTCATAATGAAACAAAGCCCCAAAGGAGACGAGTATTTAAAATAAGACGAAAATGAATCATAAATACTACCTTCCGTGTTTGTGTTTGAAGAAAATGTTTTACCATTCATGATATTGTGAATGTTTGCGTCGCGAGTGTCCGGCATATTAACCAACATCACAATAGCATAGCGCAGTCATGCATTCATGTGAGCACTGCTCCAAGGAATGAGTATATCATAAATCGGGGACTATTTGGAAACAAAATTAAGGGAGCTCACTTTAAATTGAAGACCAGCTGTCATAATTCGCTGGTCTTTGATTATGAAAGCGAATAATAAAGCCAGAGACCAAGGATCGAACGAGTCGATCACGTTATTGACCTCTCAAAAAAATCTTAGCACAAAGTGAAATGGGATGTTAGGTTTTTGACGAGACGGTGATGGTTCTTTTTATCGTCGTTAATATGATCCCTCACAGGCAAGCATTCACGATTTAGCTCAAAAGGGTTCTTTAGCATCGCAGGCAACGGCTGGAAATAAAAAACAACATACATCGAGCCTTAATACAATGTGGGTGTAAGCACGTTTCCAATTGGTAGTTTTCCCTGAACATATTTTTTTAATAAAGGAAAACTGGCAATTGTATAGCGCTATAACCTAAACTTAAGCATCTAGACACAATACATGAGGCAAGTTCAACCTTATAAATATTGGCTACATTATTTATAGTATATATCAAAAGCGTAATGCCTTTTACCTAAATTAAGTGTACAAACTAAGATTAAAATTGAAAATCAAAATACGTCGTGAAGTAAGTGCTTTAACTACCTTTACTAAGAACAAAAAAAAATCTAAACTGAAGGATGTCTTAAGTTCTAGGTAACATGGACCAAATTTTAATGTTAAGATGGAATTCAAAACGTGTATGCCACCGTTGCAAACTGTGACTTCATTAGAAAAATTACAAATAACCCAATCGTCGACACTGTAGGTCTTGTGGGTGTCGTGCATGCCAATGTTTTAAGCCAAACGCTTTAGATAAGATAGATCACCATCTAAGAATGGAAATAGAAAGATGAATAAAGCAACACCTTTGCTTGATAGAAGCACAACATATGTAATAATTTATTATGACACTTACCCTCGTTTCTGCTGGCAGCAAATATCCCTTTTTAAGAGCTTTAACTAAGTCTAGACTTATTTCTTTAGTTGGATTTATAACCAGTCTGCCTTCCACAGGATCAACGAGTTTTTGTTCGATAGCTTGAACCAATGGCCATATTTTTCCTGTCTCTGGTTCTTTGACGACTGTACTAGATGGGTCAACAATGCCTTGTTGGATAGCTTCGCCTAAATTTAATCTTTTTCTATCCATCACACTTGTTGTAATAAATGGATCGTTTAGTGCTCCGGTTGTTGGATTGTAAATACCAAAGTTTAATGTTTCTATTAAACTGAAACTTTTCTTCGGAGTCATTAACAATCCAGATTCTATTGATGCTGATAAGGTATTAAGTTTGGAGGTCTCTGTGTCTAAGATGTTGCCTTTTTCTGCATCCATTAGACCTTTGCGGAATGCTTCGGGGAGTTTCACTAACCTCTTCTTGAGATTATCTTTAATGAGCGCTGTGTCAGAATCTATATATCCTAAAATAGCTGCATCTTTAATGGTTAACATTTCTCTGGAATGTGGATCAGTAAATCGAGCGATATTAACATTTAATTGACCGTTTTCAATTGCTTGCTCAAACGATAGAGGTTCTCTCACGTATACAATCAAACCATTTTCAAAGACAAAGCAAAGCGTACGTGACCTGTTTTGAGTATCGAATGAACCTTTTGCGTTTTTATCTATAATACCTTCACTAATACCTAATCTTAATGGAATGTACTTATTTTTATGAGGATCTTTTATTACAGCCGTATCGGGATCAATAAATTCGTATCTTATGGCTTCCTCTAACGTGAATTCCCTGAGGATCGGTTCCTTTGACGTAGTAGAATCATGTACGTAACGTTTAGTTACAGTTTGAGAAGTAATGGGTTGAACGACAGTTACTAGAAGGCCTTTATCAAAGGCTATGTCCAAGCTATAAGTTTTCTTTGCTTTTGTATCTAAAACTCTACCTTTACTGACATCAACATCACCTTGTTGAATAGCAATTGGTAGTGGTTTAAATTTGTTGGTGAAATTGTCTTTAACAACTGTTAATTCAGGGTTTAACAAATTAATTTCTATTGCTTTATTAATATCAATAAATTCATTAGTGGTGGGATCAACAATTTTGCCATTATCGGGTCTAAAGAGGCCATTTCTTACGATTTCTTCAAGACTTAAATTTTTCTTTGTAGTTACTACTAAACCTCGATATTTAGCGTCTAATAAATTGATTTGGTTTCCGTTCGGTAATATGTATACACTATTGACTTCGTCTACAATACCATTTTGTATAGCTTCATTTAGTTTTATATACTTACTCGTGGGAATATGTTTTACTAGTGAAGTTTCGGGATTAATAAGTTCTTCCACAATAGCGGATTTTAATGATATCTTTTTTTCTGTCACTGGATGAACAAATACAAATTCAGTTATATCATACATATTCATTGCTAATGTTTCATAGAGAGTAAATCCTGCGCTTTCGATGTCTACTACAAGGCCTAAACTCATAGCTTCCGATAACGGTATTTTAACATCGGAGCCTGGTTCATGGAATTTTCCACTTCGTCTATCTACGATTTCGCTACGACAACACTCCGCCAAGGTAAGAGGCTTTTCCGACTTTTTATCAAAATAGCAAAGATATTTGGGACTAATAATAGATCGCCTAATAGCTTCATGAAGTGTAATTTTACGATTAGTAGTTGGATCTATAATTTTGCCAGTACTATCATCATATAAACCTTGATGTAAAGCTCTTTGTAGGCTAATAGATGCTTTACTATCAACAAGTAACCCAATTTCAAAAGCTTTGCGAAGGCTAATTTCTTCGTTTTCGTTATTTATGTTCCTGATTTTACCTGTTTTATCGTCAATAACACCAGTTTTAATTGATTCAGATAGACTAAGTTTATCCCATTTACCTAATCTGTTATCTTGAATGTGCACTGACTGAGGATCAATTAAATTCAGTTTAATAGCTTCTGTTAATGTGTATTTTTTGCCACTTTGAGGATCCAAAAAGAGTCCACTGATTTCATTGTAAACGCCCTTTTCCAGAGCTTCAATAAGCGATAGAGGCTTTCGGACTTCAACTAATAATCCCCTTTCGAAGGCTTCTCTAAAATCAACCTTTTCATCTCCTAATATCACTGTACCTGTTCTACCATCGATAATACCTTTATCGACTGCAAATTCAAATGGAATAACTTTCCCTGCTACATGTACTAAAGTAGATTGTGGATCTATCATACGCTTTTTAATAGCTCTATCTGTAGGAATTTTTTCTTTGCTTTGCGGATGTGAAAATTTACCAGTTTTTGGATCATAAAAACCTTTGAAAATTGCTTCCGGTAAGCTAAGTTTACGTTTAGCAGGAACTATCAACCCACGATCTGAGGCATCTGTGAGAGAGATTTTATCACCCTGTATAGGATCGCAGACTTTACCTTCTTTTGAATCTATAATACCTACATTTATTGCATCGGTTAAAGAAATAATTTCCCCTGTTATAGAATTTCTAACGGTCAAGGCTTCAGGGTTAATATTACCAATTTTTATAGCATCCTCTAAAGTCATCGTTACGTTATTAATTGTTAGAAGACCTGTTTCGGGATCATAAAAACCTTGAACCAAACCTTCTTGTAAAGTCCATGGTTTCTTGTCACTTAAAAGGTAACCTTTCTCACTGGCGTCTTTAAGGTTAAAAATAGGGGAAGTTAGTATGCCCTGTTGTAAATCTATTAAGCCTGTTTTGACCGCTTGGTCAAATGGAATGACGGCCTCAGATTTATCATCTTTTACTTTAACATCAGAAGGATTGACAAGTTTATCGTCAATAGCTTCATTTAAAGTAATTAATTTTCCTGTTTTTGGATTCAAAATTCTACATGTATCTGGCGAATAATAACCTAACTCAATGATATCAAATAAAGAAAATGTGACTGCTTTTGTTGCCACTAAACCCTTCTTTAACGCATCGTCTAATGGAATGTTTTTACCAGTCTTTTTGTCTATAATTTTACCCGTTTTAGAATTGACTAAATTCGTGTCGAGAGCTTCCGAAAGGGGGACAAATTTTTCTAATGCTGTATCTTTGATTTCAGAAATTGTAGGATGTACAATGTTTCGATGTACTGCGTCCTCAATATTAACAAGTTGCTGTGTTAATTTGTCTTTAATTTTACCTTCTTTAGGGTCATACATGTTATTAACAATGACAGCTTCTATAGAAATTGGTCTCTGAATAATAGTTACTATGCCTGTTTTTACAGCCGTTGATATTTCAATTGTTTCTCTTGTTTCTATTATAGTTATTACACCTTCATGAATTTCTACTATACCTCTTTCTACAGCATCTAACAATGATATACTTTCAGTAGTACGTGGTATATTAATAAGTAAAGATTCAGGATCTACAAGGCCCTTTTCGATTGCTACTGCAATTGGTACCAATTCGCCGGTGTTAACGTCTGTAATTTCACCAGTTTTGGGATTATATAGTCCTTGCTCTAAAGCAGTTTCTATAGAGATTTGTTCAGTAATAGTCATGTCTTCAGGTTTTTCTACTATCCAACCTAACTGCAGACATTTTAAGAACGGTATGCGTTGACCAGTTTTGGGATTAACCATGTGACCAGAACTTTTATCAATAATAGGCTTTGCAATTGCTTCATTGAATGTAATATAATTATCGGATTTAGAACCTAGATCTTTTACTAAAATGTTTTCAGGGTCAAAGATCTGTAAACTATACACAAGTTCTTCAAAAGATATTTTTATACCTGTTTCAGGATTTAAGAATATTTGTTTTTCAATATCGTAGATACCCATTTCAGATAGTTCTTCTGGAGTTAATTTTTTAGAGATTGCTACACTGTATTTTGGTTTTGATTCTTTTATAAGGACATAATTCTTGGATAAAATATCAATTGGAGTATATTTACTTATCTGATTTTGATCTAAAGAATCCTGAACAGTTAATGGAGATTCAATACCATTTACGGCAATTCTACATACTTTAGGTTCTATTTTTCCTTGTGTGATAGCTTCTATTAATGGGACGTTTTCGTAAAGTGGTTTTATGGATTCCAATTTCTCTTTAGTGACATTTTGTTCTGTAATTTCTTCGATAACACGTAATGGTTGTTTTTCGGCATCTATAAGTAAAGCCGATGCATTTTTTACGTTTGTTTCTGATATTGGGTGTTTGGTTGGGTATAAATCTAAGAGTTTATCTTCAGTAGTAATAGAACTACTCACAGTAGGTAAGGGTTTATGTTCAGTAGTTCCTTTTGTATGTATTTCTTGGCTTGGTTCGAATGTAGTAATAACGTGATGTTTTAATATGTCTTCTTTTGATTCTTTTATTGAGCTGTTATCAGCAATATCACCTGGAAATTCAATTGGAGTTTGCTTCTTGACAATTTCTTCATACTTTTTATACGTACTGGAATCGATCATACCAAGTTCTTTTGCCTTCTCCAGTGGCACTTTTTCACCGGTTTTTGGATCAACAACTACTGCGCTCTTTACAACTTCGATCACTTTAGTCGCTGCTAAAATTGGTGCACCCACAATAGCAACAAGTCCAATCTTAGCTGCGTCAGCAAAGCTTATTTTATTGCCAGATTTATCTTTTACGTCTCCAGTATTTTTATCAACTATACCTTTATTTATTGCTTCCTTAAAAGTTAGTTCTCTACCACTATTTGGATCCAAAATTTTCACCTTCTCAGATGGAACAATACCTTTGTCGACTGCCTCTAATACATTATCAGAAATGCCTGAGGTTGAAGAAATAATAACTGACGTATTAGGATCGTAAATTACTCCAGGCACCACTTCAAGAGGTTTCATTGATTCAATATTTTCCTTCTTTTTATCAACAATTTCTTTATCCTTTTCGATAACGGAGGTCATAAATTCTTTAGATGATAAATTTTCAGGTCCTGCGTCTTTTTTTATTAGTAGTTTGTCATTTTTATCCAGTATAGTTTTGTCTACCTTATCTAGAGTGTCAATTTGACTTTTATTTACATCCTGTGTCTCACTCACTTCAGAAACAATACGATATGAAGTCGATTCGTTTTGAGTAATTTCAACTGTAGTTATTTGAGAAGCTTTTGTAGCAATTACTGTACTAGAATGTTGAGTAATATATTCAGTTGGTTCTGTTGTTGTCATAACAGTTTTTACAACTGTTGTAATTTCATCACCTTCTGGAGTTGTTTGACGATATTCTTCAACAATGGGTTTACTTGCAACAATTTCTTTGGTATCACTAATTTGCCCTGGTTCCTTAAAGGTAAATTGCTGTTGATCTTTACACGAAGTGACCGTTTGTGGAACATTTTCATTTAAGTTTAGTTTATCTAATGTTTTATTGTTACTCTCATTATTAGATTTTAGTTCTACAGGTTTTTCAGTTTCTTTTGTATCGGTGTCAAATTTCTCACTTACAGCGGGTATTTTAGATACTTTTTCAGGTATTTTTTCAATATTTTTAATTGGCGCTACATTACTATCCATATCATATTGACAAACTTTCACCTTTTCAATTATTACACTATCCGACTGCTCCGTTTTAGACTCAACAGTTTTAACAACAGATATTACATCATCATCAGTTGTTTTTTGATGTAATACATCGGCAGTAGTGGACCCAGCAAATAGGTTTTGTTTGAATTCACTTACTGAACTTTGATCATCTTTAAATAACTCCTGTGAATTTTTAAGATCCTCAGATTCCTTTTTCGTTACAACAGTCTTCGTAATTGTCATAATTTCATCAGTCTCTGGAGTTATTTGTAATTCTTCAGCAATTAAACTGCTCTTTATACCATATTCGCTCTCAGAAGTACCTGCTTTAGAAACTACTGTTTTAACTACAGTAATAATTTCTTCACCTTCTGGGGTAATTTCTCGATACTCTTGCACTGATTCAACTGGATTTTTGCTTGCTATTTCATCAGTCCGTTTCTTTAACCCAAGTTCTTCTCTTTCGCTATGTTCCTTTTCTTTTAGACGAACATCAATATAGGCCGCTTGACTTTTTGTTGGCAATTTATCCTTCAATTCTTCTACTACATTTTTTTCTGCAGGCGCAAAGGTCGTTTCTTGAGAAGGTTGAATTGTTTTTGTAACAGTTTCTAGTTTTAAAATATCCCTATCTGAAGATTTAAATGATTTTTTTTCTGGGACATGACTAATTGCATCTATTTCAATAGTATTTTGCTCTTTAGGCTTTAATATTTTACTGGTTATTGTCTTTGCTCCTTGTACTACTGCCATACCCGCTAGAACAGGTGCAGCTACTACTGCTATTAAACCCATTTTAGCAGCATTTTTAATATCAACTGATTTGCCCGTTTTAGGTTCTTTAACTTGTCCAGTTTTTTTATCAATTAAACCTATATTTAAACTTTCTTGTAAAGTTAAAGGTTTGCCACTTTCAACATCATATATGACAGATTCAGGGTCAATTATATTTCTCTTTAGAGCTTCTTCGAAGGTTAACACTTTATTTGGTGACTTTGGATCTCTGAACTTTTGAGATTTTTCATCAAATAGGAGCTCAAATGCTTCATTTAAACTAAGCATTTCCATTTCTTTCTTGGACGGAGTTGTTTTTGATGATTCTGTCGGTGTTACTTCTGTTTTCAATACTCCACTGGTAACAGCTTCTGAAATAGTTAAAATTTCACCAGTATTTGGATGAGTGAAAGTTCCTTGTTCAATATTAATATATCCAAGATTTATAGCATCTTCAAAACTGATATTTGTATCACTAGTAATAAACTGTTCTTTACTTGTCTGCTCATCCCTAACGATGCCTTCTTGACGAGCTCGAGCCATAGAAATAATCTCTCCAGTTTTTGTATTTTTAACCTCATTTGCATTAACAAGCACATAATCTGCCAAAAGTTCAATCATCTTTGTTGTAATAGTATGTTGAGATGTAAATGTTTCAGTGATTGTAGTTACAACACCACTGGCTTGCATTTCCTCAGTATTGGGTTTAACGGCTAATAGCCCTTGTTCCAATGCTTTATTTAGTGGTAAAACATCTTTAGTTTTTGGATCAGTGTAAGTACCATCATGTAAATTAATAACGCCTTTATGTAATGCCTCTTCTAAAGTAATTGTTTCTGCTGATTGTGGGAAAGGAATTGCCATAATCAGATCTCTTTCTATTGCATTCCCTATAGGTATTATTTTTCCTGTTAGTGGATGTGTAACGTCCCCTGTAGAAGGATTAATTAAATGTTTTTGAATCGCCACAGATAATGTCATCGCTGCAGGAGGTATATTTTCAACAATTGTTACATTGTCCGACTCTGGGAAAAGCTGCAAGTTTACCGCAGATATGAAATTCAAACCACCTTCACTAGTTTTTATTATGTTTTTGTCATCATCAATTATATGTTTCTCTACTGCTTCAGCAATTGTTATATTTTTGTTAGGCGTTATTGTAATCATGGTCATGGGATCAACTATATCACAAATTATTGCTTCTCTTAGAGTTAAATGGCTGCCAGTTTCAGGGTGGATTATTTTTCCAGTAGCAGGGTCCAATAAACCTTGTTCCAAAACTTCAGGTATTGAAAGACTTTTGGCCAGAGGTATTAATACTTCATCTTGCCCTTCGCCATCTAAAATACCTCTTTGAAGAGCTTCATTTATAGTAATTGTATCTCCATGTATAGGATCGATAATTTTACCGTTACTGTGGTCAATAAAACCTTTTTCAATCGCCTTGTCCAAAGTTAGTGAAGATCCATTATTATCTTTAAAAGTTTTTACGGATTCTAAAATCTTTGCAGTTTCTTTGTTCATTAAACCTTTCTCTACAGCTTCTAAAGGTGTTATTACTCGTTTTCTTAGTTTCTGTAAAACAACAGGTTTTGATTCTAGAACTTGAGTATCAATAACCTGTGATCTAGCAATGTTCACATCATATTTTGGTTTTTTAGCCTTGTTAGATTTTGTGACTTGAATTATATCGGATGTAGGTTTCAATTTTGCAGAAGAAACATTGGTAACTATTGTATTATCAGTCGAAAGACTGTTTTGTATAGCTTCCACAGTGATAAAACCTTCTGAGACAGCAGCCCCAACAGATAAAGGCTTTGTGACTTGAGAAAAGGTTGTTGTTACAGATGCAGGTGCCTTTTTGTCTACATCATATTTTTCAAACACTAAAGTATTTGGTGACTGATCTTTAATAGATTTATATTTATTATATGTAATAGTGTCAATTATTTCTTTACTATAAGCTTCCTCAACAGAAATTTTTTCACCAGTATTAGGATCTGTGATCATTATCGTTGTAGTTTCAGTTGGAATGCTTCGAATATCACCAATCGGGGATCGTTCTTTAATTGTCGATAAATATTGATTGTATGTATCTGCGTCTATTATACCTCTCTCATATGCTGTCTCTAAAGGTAATTTCTCACCTGTCTGTGGGTCTTCGAATACTATGACAGTTTCTGTCAAGAATTTGTTTGCACCTTCTGGGGTTTTTTCTCTGATGGATTCCTCATATTTCTTATATGTAGTAGAATCAACTAGACCTCTCTCGTATGCTACTTCCATTGGAAGTTTTTCTCCAGTCTTAGGATCTACTATCATTGTATTCATTACAATTTGAATAACCTTTGATGCAGCAACTAGAGGAGCTCCGACTACGGTTACAAATCCCATTTGCGCAGCATTTGTAAGACCTATTCTTTTACCCGATTTGTCTTTGTAGTCTCCTGTTTTTTCATCCAATATTCCTTTATCATAAGCCAGTTTAAGAGAGATTTCCTTTCCAGTTTGTGGCTCTATAACTTTAACAATATCAGATGGAATCGTACCACGTTCAACTGCATCCAATATATTTTCAGATACTCCAGAAGTAGTCGATATAACAAGAGCAGAAGCAGGATCAAAAATTATTCCTGGAACGACTTGAACTGGCTCTAAAACAGACTGCTCTTCAACGATTTTTTGAGAAGGAATATCATGCAGTTCCGATATCTCCATTTTATCAGGCATACCGGCAACTGAAGTAATAGTTATAACTTTTTGCGAAGATTTGACAATAGAAATTTGTTTAAAAATAATAATTTTTCGGTCTATTGCATCTTTTACTGAAATTTTTTCATTTGGAAATTGATAATGACCTGTATTGCTTATCAATTTTAACTGTAAAGCTTTATTTAATGGCATTTCCTTTTTAGTTTTAGGATCAATGAATTTAGCAGAGTCAGGATTTATAATATTTAGATTCAATGCTTCATCGAGATCTAAAACTCTGTCAGTGCCAGGTATAGTTAATACACCACTGACAGGATCGAAGAGGTTTTGTTGAATAGCTTCTTTTAAGGTCCAGCCACCACGAGGAAGTTCGATCGTATTCCTTTTTATAGTCATGGATGTGAACGATGGTTCTGTCGCAATAGATTTTGAAGTAATAGTTTTTATTTCTTTTATCAAACCTTCACGAGGATGTGTAGTTTCATAGGTGACATAATCAGGACTTTTAACCGTCTCTGGTCTGCTGTCTTGTTCAACTTTGCTTTCTGGGCTTGGGGGTACGTCTTTAATAAAGGATTTTTTTGTAATTTTAAGTTCAACAACCTGACCTGGCACCAAGTCCTTTTTAGTGACTTGGTCAGATATATGAACTACACGAGGTTCGTTTTGTTCAACGCCTAAAAGACCCTCGTCCAATGCTTGTTGTATTGGAACCACAGTCCCAGTAGTAGGATCTGTAAACGTTTGAGTTTTCTCATCTATAAGCCCGAGTTTTACGGCTTCCGCGAAAGTAATAATAGTTTCAGATCTTTGACTGGAGTTTGTGTTTGTTACTGTTACGTAACGTTTTACAGTTTTTGTAACAGTTTGAAGTGTAAGAGTAATATTAAGGAGCGAGTTTAATAAAGCAGCACCTTCAGGTGTAATCATATTAATTTCTACCGCTTTATTAAATGGAATAGGTTTTTTAGTAGTTGCATCAAGTAAATATCCTGATTTTGGATCAAGAATATTTTTGAAAACTGCATCTAATACACTAAGCTCTTTACCATTTTCGTAAATTCCGATCTTCCTATTGAACATTTCTAAAACTTCAGGACGAACAATTGATACTTTAGTACAATCTTCCAAATAAACAAAGTCACCACTTTCAGCTTTAAGAAAAGCTTCTCCATTGGAATATTTAAGATTACCTTTACTATGAGCTACATTGAAAGAAACAAATTCCCCTGTTTTAGGATCCCTAAAACCATCTATATCAAATATGGATCTTTGTGACACAGATGTTATAAGACCACGATCAACTGCTTCAGGAATAGTACAAACTTCTCCTGTCAGATTATCGCGGAATTTGTTATCATGCAGTATAATTTTTGAAGCCAGAGCTTCCGATAAAGTTAGTAGTTGACCAGTTGTTGTATTAGTTATACATTTTATGTTGTCGCTATCGAGTACACCTACGGAAATTGATTCTAAAATATTTAATGGAACCCTGTTAGCAGGTGACAGAATTTTACCGTCGTTTGTCATTAGGTTGTTATCACACACGTCTTTTAGTGTCATGGGTTTGCAAATATATTTTTTGTTTGCAGCGTCTTTGAAAGTTAGTTTTTCTTTAGTAACGTTATGTATATATTTAGAATGTTTTGTATTGATAACATTTTTGTCGATCGCTTCAGCAAGCGTTATTTTAGTATCATTTTTAGGATCAACTATTTCTCTTACGTTTGAATTTATTAATTCGTTTTTGATAGCAACGTCTATTTGAAATCTATCACCTGAATTTCTGTCCAAAATCCAGCCATTATTGTCTACTAAATCTTGACTGATAGCATCGGATAAAGACAAAGCGCTCGATTTAATTTTAATAATCTCATTGTAAATAAGGTATCCTTTTTGATAAGCTTCGGATATTGTTATATAATTTCCGTTAGGTAGCCTATAAAGACCTCTTTGTAGATCTACTTGTCCGCAATCGAGGGCGTCTGAGATACTCATTCCTTGGTTGGTGGGCGCTTGGCCTTCTACAGTTACCTTGATTCTCTTCTCTGCTGGATCAGTTAAACCTTGTTCAGCATCGTACAGCTCTTGTTGAATCGCTTCCAGTAATGTAACTTCGTTACCGTCTTCTGTCATACCGCATGGCCCTGTTAATCTGGCAGCTAGTTTCGGGTCAATGAGACCTTCTTTTGCTGCTTGTTCTATGGTCATTGTTTGTCTTGTATCAGGTGAAGATAATAGTTTCCCTGTTCTTACGTCAAGTATTCTCATGCTAATTGCTTGACCAACTGTCAGGATTTCTCTCGTAACAGGATGTATAATTCCCCTAGATTCAATAATGTTAGGACCTTCATACATTTTATGAACTCGCTTGAGATTCCTAAGATCAGGTCTGTCGTCATCATTAATAATTGTCTTTGTAGTATATTTAGGCGAATTTAATTTGCCATTGGCCATCGATTTAACAGGTGTATCTAGCTCTGTCGTGTGCGATGTCCTGACGTATCTGTTGTAGTTTGGAAAAAGAATGTATGTTACACATATGATATCAACACTCATTTGCATTTCTAAGAGCTTTATGTACTTACTTTTCCGAGGTGTACTGCGTACTGTACGTGTGTTCAGTGGTTGTTGCCAGATCCTGCATATTAAACTCCTGGCGGAAAGAGCGTGCCGACCGCGGGGCCATGGCCTCCACGAGACGCTGAGGATAAAGAAATGAATTTGTGTTAAATAAAAGTTAATACAAAAATTTATTTACTTACTACTTATTACAATTGCAACTACCATAGATAAAACTATAAAGATATTTTTGTGAATTATTGTTTTATAATATTTGTGATTATACTAAATTATACTTCTGCATAACATGACGATATGAATTGTTACTTAAAGTAACTGATTGTATTATATTACAAATAATGTAACACGTAGACCAGTAGGAAAAACTTTAGAATATTTTAAACTTTAACTTGATCAATATTTTCTGGAATATGCTGTTTATTGTCTGTGGGAATATAAATCCAAACTGAAAATGAATAGATGAAAATGAAATATACACTATTATTTTCGTATTTGTAAAAGGATTATTAAAGATTATTTATATATTTTATAATCTATTGCACCAGTTATAATGATAATAAATATAGTAAATTATTAACGCGATACGAATGGCGATTTATTGCAAAGCAATCACTTCCAAATAACTTTTTGGGTAGAGGTAAAACTATTTTTGAGTGCAAAGTTAAACTTACAATCACTAGAACCATCCAGTGCTGGTAGCCCGCAATTATTGCGGTAAATCAACGCAGTTGGTTTCTGGTAAAAACTGTCAGGATGCCGACGGCCGAACATAATTACATCCTCGTGTAATTAACATTCGTAAAAACGAAGTGATTGCGCGCTAGTAGAATGTTAAGTGGCGCCCTCTTATGTAATAAATTATGAACTTCAAGAAATTAAGGTTAACGTACACAATTGTATTCCGTAATCGTATACATATTTTGTACTATAATTATTATATCACGAGATAACAAAATTAGGAATATTAATGAAACTATATTCAGAAGAATTCCAAATAATAAAGCGAAGTATGAATTTATGTAAAATTCTGTGCTTATGTTATGTGTAAGTAACGTAAAAATTTAAAAAAATATGACATAGATTTTATACATAACGTAGTTTATAAGTACATTGTTCAGTTAGTGTCGGATTTATTTCTATCCATGAAAATATTATGTATTTTTTAGAATCGATTTTTTTTATCAATTTAATATAATAAAGTTTATTTACCAGAGGAAGACTTTGTACAAAAGTCGTCACAAAAGTGGGTCGTCAGCATGTATGCCATTCTAAGTTGTATAAAAAAACACCTTAGTACTCAGGAATGGCAACTATGAGGGGTATCATGGGCGACACAGTATACTTTTTTATGTCCATGGTACTGTTCATATCTATAAGCGACGGTTACCACTTGCCATCAGGTGGACCGTTAATTTGTTTGCCATTCGAAATTGCATAAAAAAGTTCAGGTTATAAAGATTGTATGTTTTAAGTGCCTTAAAGACCTAGATGACACAGTATTTATTTAAAATTCGAACTCCTATTATTTGAAACATTTCGTTACGGTACGACGAACATAATGCAATACTGCTAGTAAAATAAGACGTAATATGAGGGACAAAATATGTCACAGAATATGTACCTATCAATAATCATCATCTTCTTGCCTTTATCCCAATGCTTTTTGGGATCGACATAATAGGATTTTATTCATATTACACAAGGATAACATATTAGTAATATGATTTATTTCAGGTACTTAACAACAGTATGAAATAATATACGAACCCGACACTCATACGCGAAGTCATACTCGTACTCTTCCATTTTAACACAAAAGTTTACAACACAACACTAAAAAAAAGGTTCATTTATTTAGTTTGTATAACACTGACATTGTTTTAGTCACAATTGCACGCACACATCACATTATATAAAAAGTACCATTTTGAAATACTACTTCAATAACATTCATAATAAAACTAAGTACCTAATGTAATAGACAACATAAATAAAACAGTTATAAATAATTTAAATAAAGAACACACAGCTGACCGCTAGCAGTACTGGCTGAAAACTGAATGAAAGCCAAGAAAACCGTAAATCGAAAAAAAATACAGCCGGCTTCTAATTTTAAATTATTTCATAATGGATTTCGACGCGTCTAGAACACGTGTGTAATTGTAGTGCTAATTACTTCAGTTATTTAACTGGGTTCGAGTTAGTGAACAGCTGTTCAGAGGTAGGCATTTGAGGTTATGAAAAGTGACTGGCCGATTCGATACTACGGAGGAAATTTTAAGGGCGATGCGCGCGCAGCCACCCGCCCTCCAGTGCGGCGTTGTAACCATGATGACACTTTGGCACGCTTCTAAAAAGTTATTCCTTACAGTAACGTATTTTCTAATCTTAATTATCTCACTACTTGGACATAAGATTAAAACATCTTTCATTTCTCAGATTAAAAGATACAAACTAATAAGCTTATTCAATATTTTTATAGTAGATTCTTCAGCTTTCATTACTTGTAGAAACTCGCATTTTTTTAATTTCATCATCGTCATTATTTCAGCCATTATCTGTCCACTGCTGAACACAAGCTTTCTCCATAAACTGCCATAAAAAACGGTCCTGAGTCACCTGTACTCTACTCTACTTACAGAAGAGTCCACTGACTCCCTATAATGCATTTCATGTCGTCTCTCCATCTAATATTTTTAGTTTATTCGTATTATATTCAGGTAAGTCATAAAGTGTGCAACTCGTCTGTTTATTTAGCACAGTTAATTACAAGTAAACTTGGAAAGCGAGATATTCTCATTTTGAGTACATATAAATTTTACGAGTCAATCGTTTAGAAGTTTATTAGCTAACGGTTTATAACTTCAGTCAATCATTTTAATATCGCGTAGTATAATTTATGGATTACCTATTATAATTTCACATACAATAGTTATTAATTAATGTAGTGATACGCAAGCAAGTTGGTTGAACACTGATTCATTAATTGAAAGAGAAAAGAGAACTAATGACATGATTGTTACCGGCCAGTACTTACAAATTTATTAGTGGCCAGTACGTGAACATAATGTACTACAATTAAGTAACTATATTTAATTTTATGACTACTTATATACATTTTAATTATGAAATACATACATACATACAAGGAAAATTATAACACATACTAAGTAGTAATGGAGCTTTATTGTTAGCAATATACCCTGTCAGGTCGACCTCTTCCCCTTGGAAACCATCGTGTTTAATTCCAAGTGAATTCATCACGATGGGCTAACTGACCTGTCATTTCATCCTAACCTATCATTCTTCACTGGTACCCTGTCAGCATATACTGTTAGCGCAGGCAGGGTTACCATTCCATTATCATGTATTTAAAAAAAAACATTATACTGCATACTTTGCTATAAGTTTTCTACAATTTAAACGTGGTTTGCAGTATATATCCACTAATAAAAAACATACCACGATAATCTAGACAGATAAATAATGACTGAAATATAATATAAGGAAATCATATCTATTTTGAAAACAAGACTATAATGATTTTACGACGATGCTTATCTTGGATTAGGGAAGTTATTTTAGTAGAAAAGCAAAACAATAGCGATAACTAGAAAGCTGTTTCGTTAACATCCATCTTACTAATGATTATCTATTCTGGGAACGAGAGGACAAAGCAGAATTCATATATCTATTAGTTTTTGTATATATTACTTGTAGTTTCCGGTCAGTTGGTAGTAGTTAAATATTATAATTTTCGACGTATGGTCCCGGCATAGAATGGGCCTTACCCCTTACCGTAAAAGGCATCTAAGGAAACCTAATGGTCGAGGAAGGGGCTGTAGCGTCCTTTTCAGCTTAACTGCGGTTGCCAACCCGCCTGCCAAGCATTGCAACTATTGGCAAAATTTCTCAATAGAGGGAGGTTTATGTTCAGCAGTGGACAGGTAATGGTTGAAATGATGATGATTTGAGGCTACATACAATTTACTTGGATATCTTGTACATTGAGGGAACAATAATTTATTTATTTATTTAGTAAATATATCTCGACTCCGTCCGAGATATATTTACTGATCCCGGTATAAAGAGTAGCCTATATCCTTCCTCATCCCATATAGTTTGTGTACACCAAATTTCATAGTGATTTAGTAAAGCCGTTGAGGCGTTATAAAGCAGCAAACAAACTCACTTTCACATAACATTAGTAAAGATATAGAATATAGAATAGTCCTAAATTATAGGCATCTAACTATAATTATGTTACGTTTAACCCGATAATGTGATTGTTCCATGAAAAATATTACTATGTCCAATTAGATAAAATTAAACAAAATTAGATAGTAAAACAAGGGAAAAAATATAAACATATGAATAATAATATAAAGGCAAAAGAGACGCGAAATCATAATGATAAATTCGAATAAAACCCAAAATTACTTCTTGCGTTACACCATGCTACAATTTATTAATAAATACATTTAGGAATAGAAAATAAATAAATAATTTTTAATAACCCGTCTAGAGTAAGTTAAAGAACTTACTACACCTATTATGAACGTAATTTTTTTCTCGAGTTTATTTAATGATATGTTTGACAGGTCATAAAGTATCAAACTATGTCAAATGTATCAAATAAATCAACAAATTGAGCTCTAGTACATTGAAATATGAAAAGTAATTTGTAAATATTGACGTCGACTGTTATGAAGCTCCATTAGCGTAGCCACGCTAGCTACAAATATTACATCAGACCTAAATTATTTTCAGTTCATTCATTCTAGTATTGTTTTTACGTAATAAAACTTGAAACATCTATAGTATTTTTGTCAAAAAGGCAGATTTTTATTTAAGTATCAATTCATATTTTATACTAGTATGGTGGTAAATAAGCATACGATACGGCTGATAGTAAACGGTTACCATAGTCTATAGAGTATAAACACTATTAACAGCAGAGGTATCACATGAACGATTCCGACCCTTGAGAAACCATATTAGATTCGTTTGAAGGACTCCATGCACTATCTCTAGGGAAAACCTCGAATTATCTTAATAAACTATATAAAAAAGAAATAGATACGTCGAATACGCTTCTAATCTAGTATTAAAATAAATGAG